GTTTGTGTGCATTATACATTGTCGTCAAAATGCTGCTTGACTGTAAAAGAAATTAAGTAACATGAAACCATGTTTAATAATCCTGGTTCAAACATATTCACAACTTATTCAGCACATTTTTTTTTTTTTTTTTTTTTTTAATAGCCTAATAGTCCACTCCAAATTTTATTAAACGGAAACGGAAATTCTTTTTTCCCAATTAATCGTGAGCCCATTAACCGGCAGCCACTGAGCAGTGCCAGATCAACGTTGCTCATTAGAGTATATGTATAGGTTCAAGGAAACAAAACTGATTAAGGAGCATAACCCTTTAACTTTTCTCTCTCAATACAAAAGTTACTGATAGTGTGTGATAATTACATCAGTTATGAATTTCCTTCCATTTCAATCAAAATGATATACTGTGAATTGTTGGTAAGGTCACAATCTCATCTATGCCATACAGTTTTATGTTAAAATTAAGAAAGAAAAACAAAATAACATACCATTTGCCAGGCACCGGAGTATCCTGTAATGTTATCTTAAAAATTCACAGCTAATACAACTGCAATCCGCATGAGTATAAGATTTGTTTCACTGCCACTTTTGAATCGTGATGACAACGTTCAACACTATAGAGGTACAAAGTCCATGGTCGGTCGGTCGTATGGACTATGGACCTTATTGTACATGTTTAATGATAATTGATATACCATATTTTTAGAATCAACCAACCGTGAATCTCTTCGGTTTTTGTCTCGCCTACGTAGCAAAAAGCGAGACATAGGCGCTGCTTTTCCGGTGACGGCGGCGGCGCCAACATTGAAAACTTAACCTAAGGTTAAGTTTTTGAATTTTCAATATTGATTTGAAAGTCCTTATTCAATGAAACTTAGACTTAAGGGTTATCAAGTATTACCAATCATGTGAGCAGAATTTCTGGTCACAAAGTCGAGGTCAATGGTCGTTTTAGGTCAACAAACTTAGACTATGTTGTGGCATCATCATCAAAAACTTAATCTGAGGTTAAGTTTTCGAATTTTTATCATACCTTTGAAAATATACATTCCTATTCCATGAAACTTGAACATAAGGGTTATCAAGTATCACCAATCATGTGATTAGTCTTTTAGGTGACAAACTCAAGGTCAAATGTCATTTCAGGTCTGCAAAATCGACTCACCGGTAGTTGTGGCATCAATATCAAGATTTTGAATTTTTAGCATAATTTCAAAAGTGTTTGTTCAAATTCCATGAAACTTGTACCGAAGGGTTATCAACTATCACAAATCTTATGACACAAATTCCAGGTGACAAAGTTAAATTCAAAGGTTATCTTAGGTCAGTAGACTTGGATTATGTTTTCACAACTTAATGTGAGAATTAATAAATCAATTTTTGTTATTTGTTCATATTTCATTAAAGTTATCAATCTTGGTACAAATTATGGTAAATAATTCTTCTGATGATTCTAAGTCAATATTCACTTCAAAATGCTGATTATATTCAGAGGATTTCATTTTGGGGAGCTTGCTAATGGGCTACCCTGCCTATAAATAATGTCCCAACCTCAATTTTCCATCATATCGAATTGCGTAATGCAGGCGAGACCACCGAGAGCGTTTCCCTTTTTTAAATATTTTTTATTAGATTGAATATATTTTTTCATGGGAGTCCGATCCCAAGTGATCTTCTTGGTAAACTTCAGTATGATCCACTCTTGATAGAAGGACATATTTAGCAAGTATTAAAAAAAATGTAGGCGGCAAGAGTAATAGATTCACTCAATTCTACCTAATTGTTTTGCAGTTGCTGGACCAAACCTTTGGAACAATCTTCCCAAATTGATATGACAGGCACCCACTTCTGCAACGTTCAGATCTTTACTAAAAACGCACCTCTTTGGCCTTAATTAATTTGCTTAAACTATCCTTACTTACGTTATTTGTTTTGACCATGTTAGCTATCTCCTTATTATGTTATTTACTATTGTAAGTTAGTCATTTTAGTAGTTATATGATTTGTATATTTCTCTGTGTTGATTCCTTTTATGTGATTATATTTTTATTCATTCATGCTTGCATAGCGCATAGAGAAAATTTTGTTTATTATGTGCTTTATAAATATTATATTATCATTATTGTTTAAAACATATCCCTGATTCCTAAGAAGTTGAGAAGGTATTAATGTGTTCCTCTGTTCAACGCTTCAACTTGAATTTATGTGGAAATTCAAAGAAAATCACAAATATGTCAACTAATGTATCACTAGAAGCTGGTAAGCTAACAGATGGTCATCGTACAAGATTTAGGTCAACTACATATCGGGTGATTTATAAAAATACAAATACAACCACCTCCATAGCATCTGGGATATACGAGAAATTCACCAGAAAAATAACGATGTTTTAATGACGTCACATAATGGACCAATACCGCCCAAGCAGACGACATCCCATGAACATAATTGCAAAGCTATTATTTCTCAAATTATAGTGAGTTTAGTGTGTATAAATGTGATGGCATTTCGAACCATTCAAAAGGGGATATGAAACCGATTCTGATAACTAAAATCTTTTGTTTGTAAATACACAGGATAGGGGTTAATTAACAATCAAAGAAACCAGACTTTCAAATTGAAAAACCCCCGGAATGATATTAAGGACGGCATTTGTTCCTCTTGAAACGCTGAACATACCGCGGTGTGTGCAGCTGAATATACAATGGCGTCTTATTTTGTTTACAAGCGACAGATTCCTTTATTTTTGTATCGCTTCCTTTTATCATCAAAATAAAACTATGCGCTGGGTTTAGAGTGAGGCAATAGATTATACATTTAGCCTGACGGTAGTGAAGTAAGAGAAAGAACTCAAGAGAAGATGAAAAAACAGGCACTGAAAATGTGTGAGATGTCATGGGACATCGTCTGCTTGTGCAAACCATGTCCATCCTGTGATCTCACACATCTCAGCAGCGTTCAAAGAACTCATCAGGTGATATGCTGGGGCTGTATTTAAGCTTTTTGTAATTTATAATAATCATTACTTCGAATGTTTCCAAGCATTGTATTTTGATAACCTTGTCGAATCAAAGTTTCAACTTTGCAATAATGAAAATAAAGTTAGTTTTTGAAATCAATGAATATGTACTTTAAGTGAAAGATTGAGCAATGAAGAAGATGATCTTTTCCATATATTCGCGGATTTGAGCCAGCCGTCTCTCATGTTCCATTTTAAGTTTACTCCGTCAGTTCTGTATCTCCAATAATTGCTTGTTGGAAGAGTGAGATAATCTGAAAGAAATGAAATATTAAGAGATGGTCTACTATACCATTCCAAAATGTGGTCTACATGTACTTCTTTATGCTACAACTCAACACTGACAATAAAAGAGTAATTGGAATTTGAAGGTTCACGTACAAGAGAAAATGTGACCTAAAAGAAACAGAATCTAGGTAATGGTGATGACATCATCTAACCAATGACCTTGCCATTCATAACTCTTTTTTAAAAATTTTAACATAAAATATTATGTTTAAATGGATGGGAAATAGAAATTGAACACCTACTCACAGCACTACTATATTGTACAAAGTTTTAATTGTTTCTACACATGTTCATTTTCCTTGACACTTAACAATTAAGTTACAGTTCCTCATGCTGCCTGTTTCCAATTAATACCATCACTTATTTGTGTACATCATACAACTGTGCCTTAAAATTGTAAACTAATTAAGCAACATGAAAACATGTTAATCCTGGTTCATAAAGATATTCCCAACTAATGCCTAGGTCACATTTGCTCTATGGCTTGGCCATAGGCCCCCAAAATCGAGAAATAACTGCGGCGGCTGAAGTAAATCTGTGGTGGCCTAAGGGCCACCCTAGGGCGTATCCACATCTTTCAGGCCTGATAATTACCCGATTTAAATTGGTTTTTAGATTTTTATGCCTCCGTTACGAAGTATCCAAAAGGGATTATGTTTTCGGGTTGTCCGTCCGTACATGTACGTCCGTATGTCTGTACGTCCGTACGTCCCGTTCTCATGATCTCAAGAACCGAATGATGGATTCCTGCCAAACTTTAATCATGTATGTAACTTGCAGAGCCAATGAATTGATTAGATTTTGGGGATCAAAGGTCAAAGGTCACAGGGCTCATTATGTAGGCAAAAATAGCTTGTGATCGCGTTATCTCAAGAACTAATTGATGGATTCCTTCCCTTCTTAGGTCATGTATGTATCTTGCAGAGCCAATTAATTGATTTGATTTTTGGGTCATGAGGTCATAGGTCAAAGGTGACAGGGCTCATTATGTATGTAAAAATTGCTTGTGATCACATTATCATTAGAACCGATGGATGGATTACAATCAAACCCAAGATATGTATGTTTCTTGCAGAGCCAATGAACTGAGTAGATGTTGGGGTCATGAGGTCAAAGATCAAAGGGTCATACATGTATATCAGAAATAGCTTTTAATCACAATATTCTGAGAGAACCTGTCAATGGATAACAATCGGACTTGAATTTGAAAATTGCTTCTGTTTTGGTTTGTAAATTGCTCTATGACGGAGGCATCATTTTCTACTGCGCGCAGTTGAAGTTCCATTTAGTTGTTGTTGATTTTTTCTTGTTTTTCTTGTTATTCTTCTTCCCGATTTTACCCCGATTTTCCAGATTTTCCCTTATTTTCCTGATTTTATCTTAATTTTCTCACTCAAAAGGGGGGATAATTGTTAAATCCCATTCCCCCCCCCCTGAAATCCTGAATCCCTGAATAGTTGAGGGGGGGGGGGGGGAATAAATACAAGATTCCAGTTTTAATGTCCACATATATAATACAGAAAGTTAACTTCTACATGGATTTAATACATGGTAATACCATTTGATATTTTACGTATAAATCAAGTTTATATGTAGCAGACAGATTGTTTTTAAGATATAAATGATAGGGTTATTTGTTAGAGCAATACATGTATAACACAGTATTTCAAAATGCTTTATCTTGACCCTTTGACAGATTGGTGGTAGCTTGATGGAACCTAATGACTTCATGGCGTCACTGGTCACTCGCTTTGACCTGGTTAGATGCTGGACAAGGGACTTTGAAGAGAGCAAATCACCAGAGGTAAACTTCCAGGTCAATGTTTGTTGACCATTGAAGATCATTCAATGTCTTTAAACATCGAAAATCTGGCAAATAATTCATATATGCTCTGTGCATTAAAGGGCAGTTGTTTGGACAATAGAATGTGTGATAACCACTAGGAATTGTATTGTTATGGTAGACTAAGGTTGGCCCATATATATAAAATGCATTAATATTTGTTGGGGGCAATGGTTGAGATTATTTGGTCCTAGACGACTATTTGGTAGTTGCTATTTACCTCTTAAAAAAAAAAAACAACAACTCATGAGTGATTTACCTCAGATTAGTAGTGTGTCTTTAATACAGTATTTATACCATATTTCAAATAGTATGGAGATAATAAGGATAAGGATAAGGATATGTTTTGCTTCTTTCAGGACTGCAGTGCTCATCTTCCTATCATCACGGAGGAGTTTCTTGGCTTGCTTATTGTCCTATTCTGTAAGTTCTTGAAAAAATAATTATTTATAAGCCTAAATTTCAAATTTATACATGTAAATGACAAGTAGTTTGTCATTTCAATATAAATTCACAATGAGTTCATGCGCTGTTAAAATTGATACATTAAGAACCAGGATTTTTCTAGATAAGAGAAGAGGAAAATAAAACCACTATAAAATCCTTTTATGCTATACATGTTTTTGTCTCGCTTAATCGCCTTAAAAGCGAGACATAGGCGCCGCTTTTCTGGTGACGGCGGCGGCGACGGCGACGGCGACGGCGACGGCGACGGCGACGGCGACGGCGACGGCGACGGCGACGGCGTCAACATCAAAAACTTAACCTAAGGTTAAGTTTTTGAATTTTTGGTATAATTTTTAAAGTATAAGTTCTTAGTCAATGAAACTTTGACTATAGGGTAATCAAGTATCCCCAATCATGTGAGTAGAATATCAGATCACAAAGTCAAGGTCAAAGGTCATTTCAGGTCAACAGACTTGGACTATGTTGTAGCATCATCATCGAAAACTTAACCTAAGGTTAAGTTTTTGAATTTTTGATATAATTTTGAAAGTATAAGTTCTTAGTCAATGAAACTTGGACTATAGGGTTATCAAGTCTCCCCAATCATGTGAGTAGAATTTCAGGTCACTAAGTTAAGGTCAAAGGCCATTTACATGTAAGGTCAACAAACTTAGACTTTGTTGTGGCATCAACATTAAGATTTTCAAATGCTTCTTCTTCGTTATTTTTCAACCGATTTTGATTCTGATTGTTTCATATGATAGGGCTAGGAGGGGATTTAAAATTTCTACACCAAATCGTGAAATTCATTATCTATGCTAATTTATGCAAATTTATTCGAAATCACAAAAAAGGCTTCTTCTCCTTCATTTCTCGACCGATTTTGATTTGGTTTGCTTTATATCGTAGAGCTAACTTTGGTACACTAAACTTCTACACAGAATTTTGAAATTGTTCTTCATTAATTAATTATGGTAATTTATGCAAATTTATTCCAAAAATAACAAAAATTGCTTTTTTTCCCTCATTTCTTGACCGATTTGCCTTATTTGGTAGAGCTAAATTTGGAACAATAAACTTCTACACAGAATTGTGAGATTTTGCTCCATTGATTATTTATGGTACGATATTTGTTGTTGTGAGATGCGGATGAGCGCTACGTCATTGACGTTCTGGTTTATCATATTGAATTGCGTTATGCAGGCGAGACCGCCGAGTGCGTTTCCCTTGTTTAATGTTAGGTGATGCTCTACAAATTAAGCATGACAGGATTCATATCATAACTCAGAAACATATATCAAAGCATGATTTAGATATCCTCTTTCAAATTTATTATGACAAGTAGATTTATGCAATTACAGTTATAATCATGAGATTATGCATTTCCCTCTCATATTAAACACAATCATCTTTTTTCCCCCTGTGACCAACCATCACATGGTATTTTGTTTCATGGTTTTTAGGTGAGAGGTATGTGAAGGGAGTAGGTAATGTATCTGATGAAGCTAGAGTTAGGAGAGAAGTACTACATCAACTCTGTATCAGTCCTATGGCTCATAGTGAACTCACCAGAGCACTACCTGAAGATGTAAGTTGCCTTTTCTTTTCATTTGATGTTGTTGAAAAATTATTAATTACTATTGATGATTTGTCAGTGGATAACCACAGTATGACAGGTACCTCATATCTTGTAAAAGAGAGAGTGGGAAACAATCAGCCCATTCCTAGATAATCTGATGAAAATAGATTCAGTAAACCTTACACAAGCATAGCAACTGCATTTGTTTGTTTTTTACAAGTCAATGAATGATCCAATTTTTTTATGTTGCAAATTGACCCTAATTGTTCATTATCTGTATTCTTTCTTTCCAGCACTGCCATGAGACAGGCATGGAGTCAGTCATACATGACATTGCTGACTTCAAGTAAGTTCAAACACTATCTTACACTCTTCATCTTCAAAATCATCATTTTCTTCCAGAGAATCTTTCCCTCTGCAGCTGCCTCAATGGACATTCTAATCTCCTTTTGTTGTTGAAACTCTGTACTAAAAGAATAATTATGGTTGTAAAATATAGTACTACCTGATAATTAAGGTAAAGGAAATTATTCCACTACTGGATAAGATTGTTGGCAATGTTCCCCTTCAGATGAAATGTTTATTATGTATGTCATTACTTCCCTGCTATGTTTCATATGTCCATGAACTTATCTCACCCATCCATCGTAGGAAACCTGCTGGTGGTGTAGGGAAAGGAATGTATGAATTAAAGGCATCATGTCTAGATGAGTACTCTCCATACTTCTACCACTACTCTAAAGTGGATCAGACAAAGGTACAGTATGTCTTCATGTAGCTTGTCTGCCCATATGGGATGGTAGAAGGATGCTAGCATCAGTCCAGTACTCTTTAGATATCATGTTACATATCTTAATTAAGACAAAGTGAATATTAAGCTAAAGATTACTTGATTTTAGTAAGTTGAAATGCATGTAATATGAAAATGAAATCATCTCCATTGGGTTAAAAGCTGTTCCCCTTTATAGGTAACCTTTACCAATCTTTGATTACTTTCAAGTATCTTTTGATTTTGATTTCTATAAAGCATACAAGTGAAGTTAAATGTTGTATTCAAGGATATTCAAGCATGGCAGAATCTAGTTGTCTTTATTATATCTTTAGTATATCTATAAAGCGCTTAGAGACATTTGTATTAAGCGTCATATAAAAGCGGAATATTATTATTATCAGAATGAATTTGATTTGTCCACATTGATTTAATGTTTGTTTCAACATGCAGTCAGAAGAACAAATCAGACAAAGGAGGAAACAGGAAGACAAACCACAATGTAAGATATCAACACATTTATCTCTCTTTTACCTATGTGTCTGTCTCTGTTTCTCTCTCTCCTCCTCTCCCACACCCCCACTCTCCCACTCTCTGCGTCTCTGTCTCTCTCTTTCATTCTCGTTATGTGTGTCATTGTATTTTATGAGTTGTGTTTAATTTGTTTCTATCATATGATATCTCTCAATGATTGTTCCAAACCATCATCATGTCTCTATTAATACATTCTTATAGTTTTCATCCTCTTTTTAATGTGTGTCATACATTATATAAGATGTATCTTAAATGAATCCATCTCTGTGTACCCTTCAGTGATTCTGCCCTACGCGATGCCAGCGTTGATGCCCAGTTTCCAGCCTCTTCTGAGGATCCTATATAGTGATACCTTCATGTTCATCATCAAGACACTTCTGGTTAGGATCAGGAAACCCAAGGGGATCCACCTCACTGATAACATTGTACATAGGGTAAGATTCTTAGCAGAGATTTATGTATGGATAAAGGAAGAAGTCGATGGATACTAGGATATTGAATGGATCAATGTGACTATGACCATGTATTCAGCAATAAGAACACATGTGGATGGATGGATGGATGGATGGATGGATGGATGGATGGATGGATGGATGGATGGATGGATGGATGGATGGATGGATGGATGGATGGATGGATGGATGGATGGATGGATGGATGGGATGGATGGATGGATGGATGGATGGATGGATGGATGGATGGATGGATGGATGGATGGATGGATGGATGGATGGATGGATGGATGGATGGATGGATGGATGGATGGATGGATGGATGGATGGATGGATGGATGGATGGATGGATGGATGGATGGATGGATGGATGGATGGATGGATGGATGGATGGATGGATGGATGGATGGATGGATGGATGGATGGATGGATGGATGGATGGATGGATGGATGGATGGATGGATGGATGGATGGATGGATGGATGGATGGATGGATGGATGGATGGATGGATGGATGGATGGATGGATGGATGGATGGATGGATGGATGGATGGATGGATGGATGGATGGATGGATGGATGGATGGATGGATGGATGGATGGATGGATGGATGGATGGATGGATGGATGGGTGGGTGGGTGGGTGGATATGTATGAATCATTGATGAATAAATGGGGGCTGGATAGAGGAAAGAGAATACCTATGTATGTAGCTTAGAAATAAGGATTTGAAGACAAAATGACTAAATATCAGTCTTATCCTTTTAATTATTGAGGTTGATAGTTTCTTCTATAAGTATTTTGAACAAAGTTAATTTTTTCAAAGAATTGAATAGGTATGTCTTCTCTCTTTTGCTTGCATTCAATCTTTGAATGATATATGACTTTGTTTCATTTTACAGACCTTGTACTTGGTAGGTGTAGCTCTCATAGAAGCAGAGGCCAGTCATAAAGAAGGCAATCCAATGAGTTTCATCATCAAAGGAGCACAAGGTATATTTTTTCTTTCAATTTAATACGGTTTATTAATAAACATATGATTATCCCCTAAAGTGCAATGAAAAACGTCATAGTAGGGGTCTTTTGCCTTGTTAAATGTACATTACTTGAATAAAACAGTGTGATTAAAAAAAAATCTGTATTATATTTTGTAAACAATATGTATGATATGTGTATATATAGTGAACTTGTGTTCTAGCGCTGTAAAGTAAAGAATACTACTACACCCCCACAAGAAAAGAAGAATTAGAAACGAATTGAAAATGTTCACTTTTTGAAGATTAATCAAACCCAAATCAGTGAAGATGGAATACTCACTTGTTTGTTTTGACAGGATCACCTAACATGTTTGAAGCACTTCAGAGCCTGGTTGGACATCAGAGGATCGAATCTAACAAAGACTTCTTGGAATGGCTCATCAAGGTGAGATACTACTTTAGTCATTCTTTCTTCCATGTTTCTTACTTATAAAGTTTATTCTGATATTGATTTCATCTCTATTTTATAAATTTATTCATAGTTTTAGAGTGAGAATTTGCTATGCATGTAAATAGATTACAGTCTGTGCTGAAGAGTATAAACAAACGTGTCACTCTATGTAATGTTCATCTTGTTGTTATTGTCAATCTGATTGAGCAGAGAATGCACATGAATAGGGAATGACACCATAGTGCCGCATTATTGAGCAGCTTATCCAGTATGCAGAGGTCATGAGATGAAGGGTGTAGTCAGTATGTAACCCCAGTAAATAAAAGTTTATTGATATTCAGTATTATGTAAAAGCAATACTACACTATTCTACATTCTTACAACAAAGATTTATTAATCGGTGGGATTGCCTTTTTTTGTTGGTCACTGTGACCTTATCACACACAAATCTACAAACGTTCAAAATCCCTGACCCATTTGATTTGTTTGTAGAAATATGAGGCAATGCTGAAGCTGGCTGGACACACTACCAGCACCCAGATGAAGCCTCCTCCAGCCCCGGCTGCTCGCTCTGCTGAGGAGCTGGACAAGGAAGCAGAGGAGAAGAGGAATAGACAGGAGATGGCCAGGAAGAGAAGAGAACATCTCATGAAACAGATGTCAGCCATGCAGAAAAACTTCATCAGAGAGAACCCAGAATTCTTTGATGCCACCAATGAGGGCGGCTCACCTCGTCACCGAACGGCTTCCACTTGTAGCATGGAGACAGGGTATGTAGATGTACATTGAAGACACTCCTGCTCTTAATAATAATAATAATAATAGCTCGTTCTTATATAGCGCTTGTCAGGACCGGAGGCCCTCACAAAGCGCTTTACAGATAAGTATATTATTACCCCGGTCATTAGTGTTTCATTGCGTGTACTCAGCATACTAATGAAGCTGCCTCTACAATGGAGCACTGATAATATAGTATTCCTACAAAAATTGTATATTTTCTTTTGTAGTAGGTTTGTAGTAATAAGAAGAAGATTAGAAATCCATCAAGAGCAAAGACAAGTTGAAGACGGGCTGCACCCACTGTAGATAACTTTTGTACACAGGAAATCATGTAGTAATTAGGATGATAGACCTATATTTAAAAAAAAATACTTTCTGACATCTCCAACAGTGTGCATCTTTTAGGAAGATTTAGCTTAGGGTAATAGCTCAGTTGAAATGAGATTAATTGAGTGTTCTCTCTAAAAACAAGCTTGTTTAGGAATAACCTCTAAATTTGTTCACAGCACATAATATGAATGAATTTGAGTAAAATGTTTTAGAGGAAAGGAGGATGATAGATGCTAATTTACTTTCTTGTTTTCACATGACTTTGTGCAGGACGGTACAGGATATAACTATTTCATTTGATATATCAAATAATGATGTGAACAAGTTCTGTTGTTTATATCCCAACAGTGATGTACCTGCCCATGACTATCCATGCTGTCTTGGTCCTCGTCATAGTCCATCAGTCATGGCTGAATCATCTACAGCTACCTGCATCCTCTGTCAGGAGGAAGAAGACATCACCTTCGATGGTAAAGCCATGGTACTTGCTGCTTTCATTCAAAGGTAAGGTACCAGCTTATTTACTAGTTTATTTATGTCAATTTGTTGGTTTAAAAAAGACAAAAGTGTATCCCTAGAGCAGTGACTATGTATTTTGATTTGAAGTTTTCCATACATCCATAAGTAAGCCTAAAGAAAGTGAATAACTTTTCTCAGAAGGGATAGAAACTATCAATAATTCTCAAGGTTTGTGCCCTTCCTCCACTGCTGTGGAGTATCACTAAGGAATGTCTATTGTTCTAACATTTGTTGATTCTCTCAGATCACCATTACATACTGTGGTAGTGAGAATCAAATGTTAATTTGAACTCCATTAAGTGTATTCAGAGCCATCATCTGCAGACAATTGGCCATGCCTAGCATTATGTAATTGTAACATGTAAATGATGATTTATGCAACCTAGGAGGGTTGAAATAGCAGTTGTTATAATGTTACATGTCATTCTGTATGTCACAAGTATCTGTCATGTATCCAGTAGAACATCAGTACAAGAAGTAAACATGATTTCTGTTTTTGTTTTCATTTCAGATCCACAGTTCTTTCAAAGGCAAGACAGAAGACAATAGAAGATGGGGGTAAGATACTACAGAAAATATGAATTCTAATGAATTGTTTCGTTTTCCATTTTAAAGTTAGATATAGTTTGCAAGTTAAATTGAATTAAATTAATGGCCAATTCTCATTTAGGATTCATTTAAAGAATGTTAATCATAATACTGTATTTCACTATTCCTTTACATAAACTTTTCTATTCGTAAATACACAATTCTAATCCATAAAGCTCATTGTAGCACTGGATAGTCTGTGAATAAAACTTAGAATTATGATTCTTTACTTGACCATACAGAGAAGTTTGATCCACTGTTTGCTAGTTCTGATCTGTACTGGGGTACCAATGTGAGTACATGTGGTCACATCATGCATTCAACATGCTGGCAAGGGTAAGTCAACTTACATTATATCATCATTACTAATTCAATTAACATGTAATGTTATTATAATGGATGTACCAATTGTAATGTGATTGTAAGGGATGTGATCAACTAAAAGATTACTGTTAAGCTTGCCACCACATCATCTTATTTACATGACCACACAGATTACCTTCACTTAGCTCACACCACTTCTTTTTTCAACATTGCAATTTTAGTCAATTTAATTTTCCTATTGCTGTTGTTTGTCGTTTTTAGTTTTAAGATTACCACAAAAAAGAATTTCTCTATATTTGATCTTTCACTGTTGTTGGACTCCAATCTGATTCTAATGTTTATTTTATTTTGATATGCATAGGTTCTTTGAATCACTGCTTGCCAAGGAGCAAAGAAGGAACCTGAGAATGCGAGGGATCCTGAACTATGACATCAGTCAGCATCAGTTCCTATGTCCACTGTGTGAGACGCTAAGTAATACAGTCATACCTCTGCTGCCCTCTGTAGTTGGATTACAGAATGCTACCCAAGAAGGTGCACCAGTTGAAAGGTGAGTGTTTGAGAGGTTTTCACGTCCCGTCTTGAGCAGTAGTTTCTTTCATCTTCTTCTGCTCATTAAAAATAATGTGTAGAGGATATAATAGGGGAAGAACTGAAAGAGGAAATTGAAGAAGAAATTGCATGTTTCCTCTATTCCCTTTGCTTAAGTATATCAGTTTGTGAGTTTTCATTGATTGTGCTGTCATATGGGAAGATTAAAAAATGTATTGTATTTGAATGAGATGACAGTTTCAGATTTCATAGGTGATGTCAAAGAGTTGGAATTAAAATTCTGGAACTTAACATCATCTGCTCTCTGACAAATTACTGAAGATTAGCGGTAAGCAGTAACTGACAAACTATGTTTATATAAAACAGAAAATCTGGAGAGACTGCAGTCAATCTTCAGGAGTGGCTTGAAGGCATCCAGAAGACACTCCAAGCCTCTGCTCAACAGAAGGAGTTTGAGAAGGAGCAGGAGGAGGCAGGAGTAGTCCCCATGGAGGCAGGAGCAAACAGTGCAGCCGCCTCAGATGAGGAGGACATCGAGGAGAAGGAGGAAGGAGAGGAGGAGATGGCTGGTGAGATGGAGCTTGGAGCAATGGGAGGAGAGGAAGGAGGAGCACAAGGTGGAGGAGGCCTTGCTGAAGGAGGAGATGGGATAGGAGCTAAGGAGATGGAGGAGGAGGGCAAAGTGGAAGGAGCTACAGCTATGCCAGGAGCTATGGAGGGAGGAGAGATAGGAGTTGGAAGTAAGTATATGAGTGAGTGTCAAGATTTTTTCCGGATATACAAAATAGCCACAAAGACTCTCATAAATGAGTTCTACAGACTGTTTATTGACAACTACATCAACATCTAAATTCATAGAAATCTGCTGTTACACAAATATTACATATACGTACGGTCATTTAATTACTCCAATACCCACAAGTGTAATCCAGTCTAAAGTTAACTTCCCAGTTTTTTAAGTGTCCGAAATTGAGACAATTGTCCGAATAAGGCGGAAGCCTTTTGCTTGGTATTTGCTATATAAGAAGATCAAATACCGACATGGTTCCTACGACGATTCGATGCTGGGAGACTTGTGAAGGTTGATGTCCCGTAATCGCTCGTTACGGCAATTGGTCACGTGCTTCACGATCCCGGATATACTGACTCGGCGATTCTTGGATGCTAATTCGACGACGCTCAGCGTGCTACTAGTTTTGTAGTGAAGAACGTTCTTGTCCCTCGTTACACAGCTATAAATGAAATTATCAATATATCCTTCAAAATACATCATATTTAATTTCTACGGTTTCAACACTTATTTCTAATAATCATTTTGGAATAAAGCAAATGATGAAATAATAAAGGTTACTTCACCAGACTTTCTTTATCCGGTTATAACAAAACCAATATGGTTTCCTTCCACTACACTTTCTTTTCATTATTAACTAGGGTCACCAATCTAACGGACCCGGGCAAAAACTAAGATTTAATTGCTATATCATAAGATCCAAAACCGACATGGTTTCTACGAGGAATAGATCCCTGGAGACTTGTGTCGGAAAGATGATGACCCACAAACTTAATCAATCATTATAAAAATTTCGTTATGTCAATAACAATTCGTTAGAGAAATTAAGTCATTTCTAGCATAACAATTTCAATAATAAATTGTTTCTCATCATTACTACTAGGTTGTACTGCGTTAATTCATTAACACAAAATAAAATGTTCTTTTACATATAATTTCAAAATTTATGCATTAAGCGTTAAAGCATTTATAATAATAAACGTATATAATTATCCCTATCGAACGACGCTCAGGAGAACGATAGTTCATGAACGGCTCTTTCGTCACGTGTTCGTGAATAATTACTTTTGATACACATACGAGCTAATTTGCTCTAACGTGGTGCTTCTTGCACACTGTAAATATGTAAATTATCTGAATCTCATTATCACACGTAGGTTATGTATAGAAAGCTACTTACAGTTATGTTGACAAGGTTTTGCCAATGGCAGGAAAATCGAGGTTCTGGGCTACATGGAGGATACCTCTCGTACCGGTGTCGCCTGAGGAAAAAGACTGCTTGCGCCGAATACAAAATCAGGCTCTGGTAGCAACTTCCACAACACACATAAGGGTACATGTTCAAGACCTCTCACACGTCCAGCTACAACCTCCGTCTTCTAGTCAACTGCACTGATTAAATCCACACGTACACACCTTTAAGCATTCTCGGACCACACCCTAATTTGCATATATTCAGACAAGCGAAATATTTTCTATCACCAATGCCCTCTAATGTCTAGATGACCTTGAAAATAGGAAAACAAATAAAATAAGAACAAATTTCCCTTTTTACTCTGACAGTGAGATTCAATGCTAATGATGTAACTCCTACTAATAATTATAAGGTATCAAGAAAATATTACATTCCAAGATATTTAGAAGTTTCACTGATTCATGTGCTTTTCAAGCTTTTGTGAGACACCGTTATAGAGTTTGACAGATGTGTATGCCGTATTGTGAATATATCTTGTGAGGATCACTTTGTAAAATATCAAATGAAATAATTGGTAGAAAAAAAAAAATATTTGTATCCACATTCTTTTCTAAAAGAGAGAAGAAGTTTGTCTATTTGAATTAAAACCTCTCTTGTCATTCATACTTCCTTTTCCATTTGGTGAGTTCATTACATGGACTAGATGGAGATAAGTACATTGTACATGTTTTTTCTTCTTCTTTTTGGAAGACAAATCAATGACTATTTCATTCTGCAGTCAATCAATACAATATATTGTGAATGTATCTCTTGTTTTATTTTGTAGGTTTTATTCAGATCTCAACCATCCCTTCCCTGAAAAGGCTTCTTGCTGAAACTGTCTCCCAGAAATTTCAGCAGCTCTTCCAGTTCATCCAGGTTTCATGGTCAGTTTTAAATTCATGTATTTTGCTTGAAAGTATTGTAGTTGTATACGAATAAAATGTTATGCATCATCACTTAACTTTGAATAGACACAGATGTTTTACTTAAAGCCTGCCTGCACTACTTTTAGCTACTTGCGCCCTCTATATAGCAAACAAAGCCTAAGCGGTGACTGTTGGTCCCCCATGATCCCCTTTTTCTTATGTTAATTGAGAGCTGATTTGATGAGATAACCACCTGCCAGTGACCCTGCAGGGAGGTCTGATCCCTCCTGGCCAAACTAGAGCAGACAGTCTTTAAGAGAGTGCATTCTTTGGGGAATGGTGTATCAAGGAGCAGAGTTTCCTTAATATTTTTGTGCTATGTATGTATTGTGATTTCAAGTTATAAAGGATGTGAGTGTTTCCTACATGTGTAAATTTAATCTTATATTTTGTTGATTCATTGCTTTTTTCTTCTTTTTGTCAATAATTCAGCTTGCCAATTTCAGAGAATGTTAAAGAGATGATCCGGCACTTTTCAAGATCTGCCTACACTGTAAGTAAACAGACTTTTATGTTGTGTGTGATTGCCATTTTTGTTTTCAAGTTAAAGTATTAACTGTATTTGGTTTCAAATATAAATGTACCTTTGTTATATTACATACATACATACATACATATTGGCATTTATTTAGCGCCTTACCATGAACATGCTCAAGGCGCTTTACATTTTAAAATACAAACATAATAGTTATATACTCTCCAAGTGCATTACACTCTAAAAAATAACAATTACAAAGAAAAAAAATTAGTTTTTAAATTTCTCTTAAATGATGCGACTTTTCATGTTGCCTGAGCCTTTTTATGATTTATATAGAAAGCCCCTTTATACATGATGAGAAGACAGAACCTGAATGTGCTAGGGTTCAACCTATTGAAAGTCCAAGCTGGATGGAAATGAAATTGTTTTTTTCATTTGGTTAATGATATAAGCTCCATTTCTTGTGACATCTCAACAAACACATCACAAGTTAAGCATAGGATTCTCTAGATCAAATTGTCATTAAAAAATATCTGGGCAAAGAATATCAATTCAGGGGAAATTTCTATATAAGATGATACAGTACATGCATGTAAGATAGCAATTCTTGTCATTTCCATGATGTTAAGTAATGCATCTCCTATTACAGGTTGGACTGGGTGTAATGCCTCATGATGATGATAGCAGAATGGCTATACTAGCCTGGAATACATGTGCCTATACAGTGCAAGTCACAGGTAAGGATTTAATACAGTGTATGATCTATATGCATATGAAAGGAGTTCATGGCCATGTATAATAAAGCCTTTTGATTGATCGTAAGGTTAATATTGAGCATAAGTCTATGGCTCATTGTGTATTGATCAAACTTATGATCAATTATAACTCTTTATGATACGCGGCCCAGATCATTTAAACTTATGTAATTCAATGTTCTATTATATTATGGATATTTATGCAAAATTTGTATAATGTGATATAGTACATGTAAGTGTAGAGATAAAACAAGTTGTTTTCCATCCTAATGATCAGTTAAATGTTGCATTGTTTGTTTAACATTACATCTCTGCTTTGTCTCATTCTAGAAACTCAGCTAAGGAATGAAGGGAAAGCACTGTTTGGAGCATTGTCACAGAGACAGGTAAGACTAAGAGGTTTGTTAGTAAAGAGCAAGAAATACAGCTGATATGCCTGTGGACTTGTATATTTCTTTAATCATCAGGTAGTGATGTCACAGAAATGCATATGTGGCAAGAAAACTATTGATGTAATATTTGACTGGCTGTAATAATGCAAACTGTAAAAGTTCTATGAGCAATAAGAAATCTAAGAAAGTTAATGCACATCAAATTGCCCTCCCCCCCAAAAAAAGAACAGAAACATTTTGACAGAAGTTTGATATACAAAGACATCATGCTTGTTAATCAAAACATTTATGAAAGCATTATGGTTTACAATCTTGAAACGCTTTCACAGAGCAATTTTTCTTTGAAATTTTCTTTGAAAAAATAAAAAATAAATTTGTAGTGAATGATGTTTTAATTTGTTATTTTCAGATGGACTGTCTCCGTTGTTTGATCAGATACTCTGTAGTGAATAGCTGCCTGTGTAATTATGCCCATGTGCAGAGGCATGCTATTAGACTACTCTCAGGTAAGTCCATGACTGTAATATTCAACTTCTTTGTTTAAAATGTGACAATGAATATAGATATATAAAGGAGTATTTAACTCAAAAAAAAAAAAAAATCTGTGTTTATTTGTTGGTAATAGTGTTTTTTAAACTTGATAAATAGCATTATAATGCAATACTTAATGAAGGTATTATTAACTCATCTTCTCCCATCTCCCTCCCTCCCTCTCTCTCTCTCTCTCTCTCTCTCTCTCTCTTTTTTGTTTGTATTGCAAGGTGATGATAAATCAAAAGTCATATTTAAAGAGAGTCATATTTTTATTTGTCTCCTATTTCATTTCATGCCTTTATTCTTGTGTGTATAAACAGCCCTCTATCCTCAGGAGTCCAGTGGAAGGCCATCTGATCCTTGTATCCTAGATATGGATGTCTTCACATTACTGGTAAGAATAGATTTAGTTTGATTTATTGACTAGAATTGATATATATAGTTTATATTGCTGAAAATGACTTTAGATGCGTTATTGGACTAGCACAGGTGTCGAGTTTGTTGAAACTAGAAAATGGAGGAAAAAACATGGAGTAAAGTTTACTGGAACGGTATGCATTTGGCAAAGTCCTGTAAAAAGAATTAGTATTCAAATTCAATGCATGAAAAAATCTAGGAGTTTAAGTTTTGAGAAGCTCAAGATTTTTCCTGCAATATTTGTGTAGGGCTAAATGAATTAGAACCAACTGTAATTTCAGGACAATGCAATCCTTTTTCTAACTGAGTGTACGTATGTAAGGCGGCCATACATACAACCGCCCTTTGGTTCACATGGTTAGAAAAAGGATTGCATTCTACCAAATGAGCTTCAATGTTGACCTTGGACTAGTTATTCTACATCAAGAAGGTATTTTTTATTAATTTTTAGTATCCTTTTTACTCATTTTAGTCTGATTTAGAATGTTCTGGAAGTTTTTACTAATGTGGCCAGAATCTGTAGAATTAATTAAATTTTATTACTTTTCAATAATGAGCATCCTTTTTATTCTTCAGTCTTTTATTTGGTCATATAAAACCATGGATCTCTACTTCCTTTTTATTTTTAATGTACAGGTGAGTGTCTGCATGTCACTGCCTCGGCTGTATAATAGCAATGAGAGAGTAGCTATGAGTCTGCTTGGTGGTCCAATCAGTGATCATCATCTCCTGAGGGTAGCTCTAGCAGCTCATCTAGTCCAGGTCCTACTCACTGCATCAAGAGATATCCCATGTAAGTTGCTCTCTAGCTCATCTCTTTGTGCTGTAATTTAATCTATAGCTGTCTGTATGAGGAGTCATAGGTATGGGTAAATGAAAACATCCAGATGGAAATATTGACTATGTAGTATTGCCTATTTTCACTTCAATTTATGCTATATTTACTTCATGTAGCAAAAACAAGGAACTCAACTTACAGATATATTTCTAGATATTTATCAAAGAGGAGTATTTTACAGAATTTTACTTGATATGTATTTGTAAAATGTTATAGTTTTATAATTTTGTTTAATGTTTTATACCATTTGGTGTCTGTATCCATCTTATGAAAGGGAGTTTGCTGACTTTTTCATTATATTTTCATTCATTTTCAGTTGAAGAATCAATGGAGGAGGAAGGAAGCAGTGTTGATGACAGCAAGGAAGGACGTGATCTTCTACAAGCTTGTTCAATGCTCAAACAATATGCAGGGTATGTCCACTTTCCTCCACTCTTTATTTAATTCACCCCCCCCCCTTTTGTTTCCAACCTTACATACATGTATATTGTGAAAGTGTGTATTTGTGTGTATGTGTTTATAACTTGTGTTTCTAAATGGTTGAAGATGTTTTTTGCAGTGGTGATACAAGACCCCTCATAAGTTGATGATTGAATTAATTGTAAGATAAATTGAGAAAACATTAAGATATGCTGTTGATGTTTACTGGTGATAATCATTTGAATGATGTCAAAGATAGAATATGATGTTGAGGATGGTCATGATAGTGATGAGGGTTGTCATTGGGAATTTAGTCAGATCTATCAATACTTATTACGTAATAATGATGTTGGTGGTATTGATGATGACTCTTTTTTGTTCAGATTGGAAGCAGCCCCTCTCCCACCTGGATGGCAGCTGGTCAACCACGTCCAGGTATCCTGTCTGCCGTTCCTACGCTCTGCTGCCCTCTTCTTCCACTTCCTGACCAGTGTCCCGTGTCCAGCAGAACTTCAGAGTGAGTTAGAAACCGAAAGTCAACTTTCAGAGTATAATCAGGGTAGGCCCTTCTCTCTTATCTAGAGTTCATGCTTGTTGAAGGCATGGTGTGATGTGAGACTTACTTGACTTGCTTGAGTAGGGAGGTAAGTGGGTAAGGTGTAGAATGATAGGTCCATCGTATCAATCAGAGCATCGGAGCATCAGCACATTGTTTAGGTCACTGGTTCTGTATTAGTACTCAGTGACTGAATCATGCCATGGGAAATCCTTGAAGAGGTCAACCAGATATGTTTTCATATATTACCCTTATTGAAATACACCCAACTGTGTATTTCCTATCTTAATTTCATTTTTTAATTGAAGGGGTTTTAGTAAAGCTTTAATGTAATTTTAAAATGCATGATTTCAATCACTAAAAATTGAATTTTATTACAAGATTGAATTTTTTATTCTAATAACACTCTAATCTTTAAAAAAAGACACCTCTTGGTACTTACTGTTTGATGGAATGGATTGATGTGCAATTCTCATATCCAAATAATTCAGATATTACAAAATTGAGCTTGCTGTGTATATTTGCAACTATGCATGAACAGACATAAAATTTATATTCCAATCACTCCTGTCAATTATCAAAACTACTCTAGAAAATTGAAATATGATAATGGTGATAAAACAATATATGACATGAAAATACAATGAAAGCAATATAAGTCAAAACAGATATACTTATCACTTGATTTGAGGAAAAAATCGTTATTGAGGTTCAACATTTCCTTTTTTAAGTTTAAAACTGCTATTAATGAAATATGTTTTTAAACACAAAATACACAGAAGAGAGAAGTAGGAGGCAAGGACAATCAAATTTGTTTAAAGTTTAAGGAAAAATGTTTCAAGAATTGTATCATGTTTTACTTGTTCCACTTTTCCATGAAGGTGCCAAGATTTAATAATCACTGAAATGATTTAAATTCTACATATTTACTTGATGTCAAACCATATCATCTGCTCATGATATTGCTTCATACCCTGATGTTATTTGAATGTGTCTCCCTCCATAGATGCAGGCATAGATGAGTTTGAACCACTGTGTAGGTACCTTGGCTTGCCTACCAACCTAGCTACCCTCCTAGACTGTTCAGCATCACCTATCATGGAAGATATGATCAAACGATGGTGCTCTCATCCATCCATTAGGATCAAGATGACTGAACACAATCCTGCTCTTGTCAGGTGAGTGAGTGGGGGGATGGCAAAGCGGGGGGGGGGGGGGGGGGTGGTGGTAAAGGGGGACGGCATAGATTGGCATTCATTTTATAGACAAGCATTTGGATGAACATTTAGAGGATTGTGTCATTATCTATCTTGCATAGAATTAATTTTCTATAGGTATATTTGTGTTATTATAATTGATATATTTTGTTATTAAATGATAAATACCAACAACAATTTAAATTTTAATTCATTGATAAATACCTTAAAAAATATATTTATATTTGATTTCTTTTTGCGTGTTGAAGATGGCATTATATATTGTGTACTCTGAATTTCTTGAGGATTCTGATATGTTAAATTTGTATTTGATTGCTTTAGGTATCCCATCGAGATAAACCAGCTAATTGACTTGCCTCGAGACTACAGTGACCTCATGAATGACAGATCATTGTTTGCGTAAGTCTTTCAATCACTTTCAAAAGTAATTCAAGGCGTTTGTAGTCTTCATCTCTTCATTTTGCATGTGACGGGGTACTTCAGTGGTCATTTCCTGTAAGGTATATTCTTTGGAGTCATAGGAATGAGTTAAAATCTTTCTTGCTATTCACCTTACATCATTTGGCAAAACGCCATTCTACATTTGCTACTTTTTACCCAAGAGTAGCCAGTAGGTACCTTGTAAGTAAATTCCTTGAGTGCATGATCATGGGAGCTTTGCTGAAGTCAAAATATATTCCCAGGAACAGACTTTTATAAATCTAATATCATTAACCTTTTAGAAATTTAACTTTTCATAGTAAACAATTGGGTACTATAAAAGTAAAATAATGTTATGTAATCTCTTGTCTTGCTATCGGTGTAGGTGCCCGCGTGGTAACAGTACAACCCAGAGTGACAGTCGAGCCCCAGCCATGTGCCTGGTCTGTGGGACTGTGGTATGTTCTCAGAGTTACTGCTGTCAGAGAGAGATCAATGGAGAATCAGTAGGAGCCTGTACTGCACATGCTATCATGTGTGGAGCTGGGTCTGGTGTCTTTCTCAGGTATAGTAATCTGTTCAGAGCCTCAAGGGCTTAAAATCTGTGTTAAAAGTATATGAGTTACGCTCCTCTGGCTCCAAACAGATAATATTGCTTTTATTGGTTAGATCTACAGAATTCACTTAGTATTTTTTAGAAAAAAATATAGGAAAATGGATCATTTGAGTTATACATAGAAAAAGAAAGACATATTAAAAAGCAATCAGAAATAAGATTGAATTTTGAAGAGTTTAGAGATAGTGCTAGAGAAGTAAAGGTGAGATAAGGGAGATGGAGATGAAGAAAAATACAGATGAAAAGAGAGTGGAGGTTAAGAAAGAAAGGAGAGAGAGAGAGAGAGAGAAAGAGAGAGAGAAACAATGAAACAATAAAACAATAAAACAAAATGAGAATTGAAGAATTTACAGACAGAGAATTGGAGAGAATTCAAAGGGGAAAAAAAAGATAAACAAACTTCTTCATAGGGGCAAAAACATCGCTTTTCTTTCAGTTCAATTCATGATATTACAAAATCATATTTAAATGAACAGTTTCTCATAATGCTATTATTATAATACTTGTTGCTAGTTATTAGTTTTGTTTTATCATTATATTGCTGGTCTGGTATAGGGTGAGAGAATGCAACCTACTATTGATGTCAGGAAAGAGTCAAGGATGTTCCTACACCCCACCTTATCTAGATGAATATGGTGAACCTGATCCTGGTCTGAGGTGCGTCAAATATCATCTCATTTACATTGCATTTCTTTCTTTTGGTTTCTCTTTACACTTATTTAACTTTTAAATGATGCATTATACTTGTGTGCCATAAAATGACACAAAAAACCAACATGGAAAAGATATTAAATTAGTACTGATGTTGAGATGGTCCTAATTGCTGCATTACTCACTGTGTATTAGAATGCAATACACTCTTCAAGGTCAAAATGCATTATGTTTGCATATCTTTGAAAGTGGCCTGTACATTGTGGTTTTATTGTAAGAAGGATGGAATGTCGAATTTACTATAAAGGCACTTTTGCTGCTGATATATAAATATTGATATGAAAATTTTAAAAATATTAGCAACAAATTTGAACTGGGGACTTTTTCTCATTTGTGCAGGCGTGGGAATCCTCTGCATCTGAGTAAGGAGTGTTACAGTGAGCTTCACAAACTCTGGCTCTCTCACGGTATCCAGGCAACGGTCAGCAGGAAACTAGAAGGTGCCTCTCCTCTCATCAACTGGCAGAACATGTAGTGACCATGACAACATCCTTAATGACAACATCTTCCATAGAGATTAGATGGATAATCAGTCAATTTGCCTTTGAATCTCTTAACAATGGAAATGTTTATTTCTCATAAAGTTGCTATGGTAACAACACCCCATGGGTGATGATGAAGCTCAGTCCAATGTCTCTAACTGTCAGAGATATATGACTTCAAGTGGCATTACATTATGATAACATGATTTCATTCAAACAAATATTTATGATATACTGCATTCATTCACATCTTTCAATTACTGTATTAGCATCAGTATTACATGAAATACATGTTGATGGTACATGAGCATGTACCGGTATGTGTTATAGATCTATCAATGTTTTAGATATAGGATGTACTTTAAATATTGCTTTTTTGGACATTTTGTCGAGTAGTAAATATCTAGATAATATGAAATAGATATCGTAATGAAACTAAAAGTGCAAAAAAACATGATAGTTATTAAAGTAGGAAATAGAGTTGTAAAATATGTGATAATGTAATGTCATTTATGAGTACAATATTTACAATGGGTACATTGCAAACTTAAGTAAGTGCTCATGAACAAAATATCTAGACACCCATATATAGATGGGTGTGATTCCTCATAGAGATGGACTTAATCACAACTTAAGTGACAAACTTTTCAAAAATTGAATCTGTATCGAAAGTCTTCTTACTATTGACAAGCATATTCAAATGTGGCCTTCTGTCAACTACAGCAAACCTATTGACATTAATATTGGAGAGCAATTTTCTCTGGAGACTATGCTTGTCTACTGTGCCCAGGTGTATAAATGAGTACTTGGTATGAGGAGGGATGCCGTGTCATCATGAATTATCAGCTCTAAGTTAATGAAGAGATGACCCATTTTGATTTAAAGGTTGCAAAGGTGAAAGGTCATTTGTCATTGTGAAGATGCAAGTAGAGGAAATTTTGCATCATAATCAAATATAATGCATTTTCCTCAACAGTTGGGGAAAAATCTGTATGTCAGATCTATCAGAAATGAGAAGACCTGTAGCTTAATGTCATAATTTCTGGCTCAGAGTGTTTCAGGAGTACCTATGATCTTCAGAAGTTGTTTTTTTCTTTCTGTTATCCTAGTCACTGGTCCATCAAATGTGATAGATCTTTCTTATTGAAATTCTTTTTACACTGATGTTGAAACTGAAATGAATAGAGTTATTTTTTAGCATAGGTGATTTGGCTGGCAGTGATAATATCCAAAATCAAAGATGTTATTAATGAAAATTCAGAAGGAAAGAAACAAACGTTTTCAATTAAATGAGGTCTTTCTTTTCATTGCTCAACTTGCCCTAATTTTGATTTTCACTTCATCTTTGTCTGCAGTCCACTTTTATGAATACCCATGTTCATTATGCAAAAAGATCACAAATTCAAGTGTGTGTTTGAGAAACTGACTTTCACATATTTATGAGAGGGACACTTTTGATAGAAACTTGTTGAAAGCAAAGCAAAGAAATGTTAAAATCTATCATCTAGTTTGCATGATATCTTTGCATGGATTCTGAATCTATTGCGTTTTATGTGCTGTGAAAATTCAGACTTAATGAGTAGCAACGTGTATTAAAAGTGGTCTCTTGTACAGGAAAGCATGTGACAGATGACTTGGTATCAGTCACTATTAGCATACCATTGTAGACAGTAGTTTGTTCTCCTCATGAATGAAACAATATGTATATATTTGTTCATTTTATCACTTGCAATTGATAGTGAAAAAATCAGAAATTGTTTTCTTTCATCATGCTTTTGTTTTGCGATTCAGAGCTTTAGTTTCAAGAGGTTTGCAAATCTATTAATTGAAATGCATGTTTTTGTTCTACATTTGCTTGTAAACAGGGTATGAATGCACCATTTTAGCCTCAAATACTAATTCTTGGGGATAATATTTATTTTCTCATATGATACAGGAGATATTCATTTATTAACTTTATTATTCATATCTATGCATGTAATTATACTGACAAAATGCAGACTTTGCATGATTGAGTAGTACTTGAAGGAAACGAAAGGGATCATCTTAAGAGCAAACTATGTTGCTATTGTGTTATAGAGTTAAAGACTTTAAGTACCGATGTGAAAGGTAAGTTGAAATAATAGCTTTATTTTTGTGAAATCAGCTAACTGTAGATGAGATGTATATTATGCTTATAGTAGAAACCCTGATTGTAAAGTTAATGCAGAGATTTACCTTAGCTTGCTTCTTGAAAGAAAAAAAGAAAAAAAACAAAACATAAACCGTCCCTCTCTCTCAGCATGCACAATTTTGATTTTGTATAATTTTGTCAAATTTCTTATTCTGAAGGATTGTTCTTTGATGTAATTAAGTTGAATTGAGTCTTTTGACTTAAAGAGAAGGTTGAGTTCTGGGGAGAGGTGAAAAATAATTTGTGAGCGATATCATTGTATTATGCAAGTGTGGAAGAATATCATATCAAAAATGTTCCCTGAAAAACATTGCGCATGGCTCTTCAAATGCCTTAATATTCTAAATATGGCATGTAACATCATCAAAATCAGGACAGGTTTTTATGCCACATGTTCGTGTTGTCCCATATACATCTTTTTGTGTACAGTGCTTGTAACTAATTTACCAAGACTAGGCCAAATTTCTTATCACTTTGATGATTCCAGAACCTTGCAGTACACACCAATACTTATATGCTAGATGATCAGCCTTTTCTGATCGATTCCACAACGTTTCTTTCACAATGAAATCACATGACCAGAACTCAACTTTATCTTTAAATTGCATGTGCTCTTGTAGCAGTTGTAGGCTTGACCACTTGGTGTTTTTTTTCTTTCTAACTTTTTGAATATTGACTTTCTTTCATTGCCAATTCAGTTTGTTTGATATCTCCTTGGTATTTCTTTTCTAATTCAAATTTACTTCAATTACATGTACTTTGATACATGAACTACTTTCATTTAGCTTCTAAGCAAAGTTTATTATTTTGACAAAAGATCGTATACTATTGGTATTTGTTTCTTCTTTTTTTGTAGGAATTGTTTGGAGGGGAATATTTTGTGAAAATTGCTGCAAGTCATTATGGGAGCAAATTGCTCAGACTTTTATTATCTTTAAAAAAGAGGAACGTAATGATATAGTTGGACAAGTTTGAAAATCATAACAATTATATAACTGGTGAAGGTTCAAAAAGCTATTCAAAATGTGTGATGCCAATCTAATGGCAAAAGGCAGTGCAATTACAAGTAAAAAAATAAAAAATAAACAACAGTAGAAAAGACAGAGCTTTTTGTCTGATTAGAAATCAAGTATATATATTTTTTGCCCAGGAATGTTGTTAGTAGTAAGTCTGTGTTAATGGAAGTTTTGCTCATGTTCTTGTATATATGCCATGAAATCATTTTGCAGTATTATTTGCCTGTCTACCCAACCATTATTTTTTAGCCTTGAATTCATATACGTACATTGCAGCTCTAATTATTCCTCTCTTCATTTTGCTGCTCTTATACTTGAAATTAAGTATCCCTGAAACCGAGTACAGAGAATAACATATTTTAATATCAATATATAATGTATGCCATTTCTTAAATGAAATAGTTATGTTCAAAATGTAGAAGAGATTTATTAAAATATTCTTGAATATAAATTGGCATCATGGACTAAAGTGTAGGAATCGATTAGATATGAAGTATCATGTGAGAAAACAGGGAACCAAAATCTAATTGTAAGACAAATAAGAGGGATATAATTCCCTGATAAATTGTTTTAAAATTTAGTTGTTTGATTAATTATAGTCTTCTGTAAATCATAGATATACTAGTTTAGTGTCATGTATGTAAGCTCACCACCTAATGTCCATTTTGTTGTGAACTAGAAACCATGGCTTGTTTGTGGCCGAGAAGATTATCTTCCATATTTCTTGTTATCTTTACATCAATAAATTAGAAAATCAAGAAAATGCATGTTTAGTTTTAAATACAGAGTAACCTTTTCTTATGGTTTAAGAGGAGTTGGGATGAAGTGGTAAACGTTTCAAGTCAATTTTTTTGGAATCCAGTATTCATGCCACAATGTCTACTTACAGACACTTTTTTTTTTATGGTTGTCAGAAATTTGTACAGCTCAATAGGAGAAGTAGCCATGGTTTTATTCATGTATTTCCTAACTGAAAGGTTCTTTAAAGTTTGACTATTTTACACCAAAGTATCAAGGATAAATGTTGAAATTATATGGTGGTAAGAGAGAAAGAGGTTCGTGTATGTCAGCTCAAATGTTACCACTAAAGAGAGCCATGTAAAGACAGCATTGTCCATGTCATATCGTATCTTAAAGAACCATTTTGCATGTACATGTATTTATATCATTTTTGAGAGTGTTCATCATTTGTTCATATTATATATAGCAAATTAAATTTACCAAGTTGTTTGGTAAATGTTCTACGTCACTTTCAATGAAGACAACAAAAGCCTATTTTCTCATTATTTGTGTACATTATTTTGGGTTGTTGTGTTGAGTGTAATCTGAAGATGCACAGGTCAAAGGTCATGGAATGTTTATTACAAACTTCTGATAATAAAAAGCACCAGGTATCAAAGAGCTACTTGGATATTTAATGAATCACATCTCTTAAAATTTGCATGGTGATGACCCAATGTTCCTACACGATACATGTTTACATCTGTTCTTTGTCAAGTGTCAAGTGAGGCACACAACACACTTTATGAAGAATGCCATTGTCAGAATCCACTCGCACGCTTGCACACAATCCACATCACCATACCACATTAAACATAACATTCTTAGCATATTTCTAAGATAGATATTAAATTGAATTAATAATTGACTAAATAAATAAGTTACTAAGTCAGTAAGTTTGATTTGAAATGAATTGAATTGAGATGGTTTCTTGATTTAAAAAAAAAAATGATTGCAGCCAGTCTTTACCTGAATTATTAATGGCTATGGGTATTCCTGTGAAAACTGTCAATTTAAATAAAGGTAGAATTAATAATTATTCATTGATGAATAAGGTTTTTTTTTTAAATACCTTGATAATACTTTCTAACACCTTGATCAATGAAATACAAAATACTGACAGTGGACATGATGACAAAAGATTATTCTTTTAAACAGAAAGTACTTTTAATTTGAAAAATAAATATTTCTATTTTACAGGCTCATTGGTCAATTTGAACTCCTGCAACCTGGCAATCAAAGCAGACTAAATGAATATTCAGCGCCTATCCGAACTAGAGAAAGGAGCACATTGTCCTCCAGTAACATATACATTACTATGACTTGATCATGTCAAATATAAATAACATACTGGTAAGTGATTTACTCACAACAAAGAAATGGCACTTAAGCATCTGAATAAATTAACATAATGATACTGATATCAATCATGATATATCCTGATTTCTCATAACTTTCTGTGCAAAATACTGATCATACCTTTACAATATACAAGGATATGATTGTCTTCTGGTCCAACTGGATACAATTGCACAAATAAGGCTTTAATATACAAGTTAAGTTGCACAATCATTTGTTAAAAATACTACAACTTCTCTACTCTCAAACTGGGTTTTAAACAGGCGATTTCTTTTTCTTTCTTTTTTATAACCTGTTGTATTTAGAGCTTTTCTTTTAAACTCTTCTCTTTAAATCTCTTTTTACAATTCTTCATTTTTCTTTCTGAAAATTACAGATTTTTTTTCAAGAACAGAAACTGTAGAAAATAAATAAAAAGAAACTAAAGCAAACCTTTTTGCCTGATCTAATAAGATAACCTGTTATCATGACATGACTGATAATTCTGCAAATGATACACAGCTATGAAAAAAAAAGAAAAAAAGGAGTCGGATGATCTCTTCTCTCTTCTTTTAACCCAAAACTGTACAAAATCCAACAGATGATAAGATAATCTTTTAAGGACAAACATTTCAATAAGCTATTCAAAATGATGTGCTAAGTCCATATCTGCTGTATGCTCACATGAAAATCTGTGCGGACACCGACACAATACTGAACATGAAAAAGGTACATATACTTAATACACAAAGCATTACTTGACAATAAATTAAGATTAGAGCAAAATGGTACAGTAACATCACAATGCAGCACCCTTCTTCCTCCAAAAAAGCTCAACAACAGTAAAATTCTTTGAGAAAATACAATAATGATTGCTTTTTGGCAATATAAGAAAAATGAGTGGGAATGACATTGAAAAAGTAATTGTCTTTTGACATATATTGAACATGACAATTCAATACTTCTTAACATTAAAAATAATAAGATTTATGTATACTGGAATGTCATTGCATTAAAAAATTTCGCAGAAAGTACACATTGCTCTTTAATTAATGTATATTTTTACCTTTATATTTCTTACTATCTTTAACTCTTAAAGGTATTACAAAGTTTTGGTATGGGGTCATGAATTTGGTTCAAATTAACATATAAGAAGCATATGCGTTCCTACAATATACATTGATCGTTGTCGCGGTTGAAATCGAGTCTAAAGTTATGAAATTATAAATAATAAACTCTTTATGTTGTATAGCTCCCTCTCAAGGTCAAGATATTAATTTAGCTATGAAACAGTGTTTCTTGACTGAAATCGACCGATTAGCTGTTCCTGTTAGGAAATTATATATCCCAACTACATATTCTGAGATTTTCATGGTCGCAGCTACGATTGTACGGCCATAGGCGCTATTTGAAATTTATCAAAATTTACCGGGAGCACCGGTAAATTTTTATATTCAATTTTTCTCGAAAACAGAAGTGTTTTAGGGGCTAATTTTTTTAGTGCTTATAATACATCCACAGGGGCATCCAAATATATCAAAATTGTAAAGATTCACTATCCACCCAATTTTCAAAATTTCCCAAAACTTTGTATTACCTTTAAAGTGCCATAGGTGGTCTTAACCAACCAAATTTGTATTTTGGTATATTTCTATCTATGATCGTTGCCTACGAGATTTTCTTCCTGAACTTCACCTGTGAAGTTTGATATCAATCCATACTTTTGCCATGGAAGTTAATAACAAAACTATGAATCAAGTCTAAGTTGTGATACCTGTTTGTAAGCTTGGTGGTACAGTAAGATGTATCATTCTTTAAATTGACAGTTAACACTTTGAAATGATATCACTGGTTTGGGGGGGGGGGGGGGTAAATTTGGACCTTCCAGAGAGGTACTATTCTAGTAATAACTCTGATATATATCTCTACTTGACTCAACAACAACAAAAACAAATGAGTCAGAGGAGTCAAAATAAGAGATAGCAACTGATAAAAAGAGAAACAAATAGGGACAGAAAAACAGATTATGACAGACAGTGACAGAGAGACAGACAGACACACATACACACAAAGGCAGACAGAAAAAGCCCTTCAGCTTACACCTACAAGCCTCAAGCTAAAATTCCACTTTCCGCTATCTGTCAGCCTCTTGCTTATCACCACCACCTCTACTTTATCTCCCGGTCCTAACACCTTCCCCTTCAAGATATGATGTAACATGTGACTCCTATGGCACAAGCCTTTGTCTTTTACACCAATGTCCACAAACACGCCAAAGTGTACTGCATTGGTCACGCGTCCAGTGAGTTGCATACCTGGGATGATCTGATCTATGGACATGATGTTCTGCTTGAAGAGTGGCTTATCAAATTCTATAATGCAACAAGTTTTGGATAGAAGAAAAGAAAAGAGAATTAGTCTGCTCAATATGGATGATTCAAACAGACACAATATTTACTTGAGATGTTAAATGGTGGTAGCCTTTGCTTTCAAGCAGTTTCTTTTTTGCAGAACGACTATATAAAGCCCAGTAAAACATATACATGTAGTACAAGAAACAAAATCATTCCAATTGATCATCAAGAAATCCTGAATATTCAACAATCATTTATGACAAGTGATTTTCAAATTGTAATTTTGATACCTTGAGTTATTTCTCACTATGCCTATGGTAAACTTAGAACCAGTCCTAAATTGTTAACATTATTCTGAAAATTTCCATTCCATTCAGACCTACACATGAATACTTGAGTACAGCTAGACTTACCAACTCGAATGTCATAGTTTGTTGGTTGTTTGAGTCCATTGATGATCAAGTCTAACGTGGGCTCACCTACCCCGATGCTTCCTGCTAGGGAAGCATTACCTGGTCAGAAGCAAGAGTTTAAAGGCATTGTTAATTAAAAATGTTAAATCTGAGATCATGCACATGTTATCAGTGTCTGTGATATGGTGTAATATTGAAGCCCTAAGAAAATTGTGCTTCAAAATGAAGATGAAGTGCCTCAAAAAAGTAAAAATCTTTGAGTGACCGGTTTCACCATAATCATTTTCCCCAATAGACTGTAGTGTTATGAAAACTGTTTGGCAAACACACAATTTCATTTCGATTTCCAATCATAAGTACCTTGATAATCAGACAGGCGATCGGCTTGTAAAAGTCATGGGATTCCTGAATGATCTAAATGGTTATAATTATGATTGCAGCATGAGCTCAATCAAGGATTTTGTTTTAGAGATCTGAGACAAAGTTACCGGATCCCTTTAACGGAACAGACATCTTGCATATCAAATTGAACTTTAAACAAATTAACAATTAATATGCTACTAGGATAAATATATCACTTGTGAAAGAATCTTCACTCACTAAAACTTTGATCAATTTTCTGCTTCCCTAAAACTTGACTCTTTATCCATGTACAATGTTTTTAAGTTTTAAAATCTTTATCAACTTAAAAATTGACGTCTGTATAAAAAAGATATTTTGAAAATCCAAATCTGATTTTTCAGTCAAATATCAACTCACTGTAATGTAGACAATGTACAACTAATAACTTGTAGTGTCACGAGCATGATCAAAGTAAATGTTATAATTGTATCTAACCATGAATTTTCTCTAGTACAAAGCATGTATACACATAAAATATTCATATCATTTATCATGTTAAGAATTGACTGATTTAGTAATGATTGCAGATATTTTAACCAGTTACTAAAACTTGAGATACATTCTCTTCATTAGACCTCATCAATAAGGGTGATCTTCACATGACTAATATTATAACATTTCCTTAATCACCAAGAAACATGTATGTTGCAAGTATCTTACCTCTTGACTTAATCAGATTGTCCAGTTTACCCCTGATGCTTTCACTGCCAATATCTCTGCCACTCGCAAAGGCCATCTTCAACAGCCTAGGAAATAGCAATAATAATAATAATAATAATAAATACTTATAAAGCGCACTTATCTAATAACTTACTCAAGGCGCTATACAAAACAAAATACATAAATCTCTCTCCACAATTTTAACAACATAATATCATTAGTAACTCTCGGTATATAAAACCTTTTTAACATGTTTCTGAAAGTTTTGTAGGATTTGAATGTTTCAAATGTCCCTTGGCAGCTTGTTCCAGAGGACTGGTGTAACATACACAAATGCACGGTGCCGTTAATGGGTGGTTCGGGTTCTGAGGACATCTAGGAAGGCAGAGGCAGAAGAACAGAGTGAGTAATGGGAGTGCTTTAGGAATGGAAACAAAGCATGCAGAATGTTACAAGGACTTTGTACTGTAGACAGATGAGAGCACTCATATACTAATCAAGAATTGAAAGGAGATTTATTGTGAATAATCTACACTTAAAAATTCTGCAATGTCTTCCTTGTCAGAAACTCCTGTTACATGATCAAACTAACTCTTAACTAATCAACAACCAACAACATCTTGGCCTTTCAGGATAGTGTATTTTTTGTTTTGTCTATTGTCAGTCTGGAGTCTGTTTCATTGGTGTAAAAGGAGTACAGTCAAACCTGCTTTAGTGACCACCTGTCTACAAAGACCACCTGTCTACAAAGGCCACACTTGTTGTTTCCCTTGAAAATGGGTTTCTCATTGAACCACGTACTAAAGGAACCTGTCTACAAAGGCCACTTTTTGTGTTTCCCTTGGGTGGTCGCTATAGACAGGTTTGACTGTATAACAATTGCTGTGTGAGATATCATCCTTCACACTAGAAGGTCATGTGTCTTTATCTTCATGTATGAATTTCTCAAGACTTTTAAGATCAGACTTCATGATTGATATACAGATTTGGTTGCAGTCCCCTGTGAGCTCTCTTCATGGTATGAAATCTCAAAGAGAAGCATACAGAATTTATCACACCACTCTTAGTTACAAACTTCAAATCCAGATGGCAACTGATAGCACTCTAGGATTGACTTACTGCCTTGTTTCTTCATACGCTTCTGGATGTATCCATGTAGAATCAAGAGGTTCTTGTTCATCGGATTTCTTTCTTCTCTTAGATGGACCTGCAGTAGTCTTGGCTCGTTTTCTTTTTAATGGTTTCACATCCACTTCATCTTCACTGAAAAATGATTGGTTCAAATCTCTCTTCAATTATCAAATATGCAAATACTTTTCAAATATTCTAAAGTGCACTTGCAACAGAAAAATCATTTTAAAACATAAATTTATTACAGCACATGATTACATAACATTTCTCAAAATGAATAAAATAAATATATTTATTCCTTCTTTATGTCAGATTGATAACAAAAGGTTTCCCCATGTTAATAGTTATTATATAGTTCAATGTATTACCAATATGTGGTAAAAGACAGGATATTCTGATTTGAAAAGCCCCCTTTTCATAGTTTTTAAAAGTGGTCAAAATGTAAAGTTTTGACTCATCACTCCAGGTATTCATTATCTCATGATACAAATAAACATTTTAGCCCATGGCCTACATGAACTGGGATGTCCCTGTGGTCCCATTAGTCTGTGGGAATGAAAAAATGATAAGTCTAAAGGTTAAGTCTGACATTTTAAAAGTAAATAATACAATAAATAACTCATGATATCTTACCTAGTCGATATGACTATTACTTCATCTAAGTTTGTATCCTCAGCACCACCAGTGGGATTGATTCTCACAAACCCAGCACACTGTTTGAAGGTCTTTGGTCCTAGGCCTTTCACATCTAGCAGCATCTGACGATTGATGAATGCTCCAAACCTCTGACGATGAGATATTATCTTCTTAGCAAGACATGCAGATATGCCTGATACCCATCTGCCAACATCAAGGTAGAGAAGAAAAGAAAATCCTAGTAGGAGTGGTATATGTTCAAGCTACAAGACATCTTATTAATTCTTCTTCCCCAAGAGATAAACTAATTATATGGTGCTTTAATAATTTTGGTCAAGTACATAAAGGGATGAGTATGACAAAAAATTAAACCTAGTTAGGCTTAAAGATTAAACAAAAGTCTATTTGTCATATACATGTATCGTAGTTCAGTTGTGACTAGGGATCCCAAAACCAAGACCAAGAGCAAAACCTTTTGTAGCATTAATTTAGCAATAGGTGACAGTTCGCAGGGACAAGACCCAAGAACAAGACATCAATATTAAACCTGATACACACCTTTACATGCTTTACATCTCTTTCCTTGCTTGGCTAAAGCCAGAAGACTCGCAATCATTAGCTCATATCAGCCAGACGAGTAACTGAGAATGATTTATGACCTGTGGCACAACAATTAATACCAGGAAATTATAATATTAGACTCACTTGAGCAGAACTTCCGAACATATATTGAGATCCACTCCAACAAAACTGACACTTTCCTCTACCACATCTCCTAATGCTGCCTTCAGTAATCTTTCTGGTACATCATGCTAAAAGAGTAAAATAGAACCACACTTATATACACCTACTTCAAACTCTCTCATTTTCTTGTATAATGGGTAATTGTATAAATATATGCTTAGTAACGCCTGTATAAAGCGCCCTATAAATGTAATTATTATCATTATTATCAATTGTTAAAATGTAAATTTTTCTTTTACTGATTTCAAACAAATTGCATATTCTTAAGTATACATGACTTAATTTAGGATTTCCTCTCAAGAAATATTATCAAAGGTAACAATTCAATTCAATTTTATTTCGTCCAATAATAACATGGAAATTCATTGTGGGATTTTACATATTGCGTTTACATTAAAATTGTGTATAAAAAGACATCAAAAGCATGACATTGAAATCGACATCGACACAATGCACAAATATATGTAGTAAAAAGGCCCCAAGATTTTCAACATAGCTATAGTACACAATACCCCGATCCCTTGCACCCCCACCCCAGAAACTCATCCCAGCCGGAGGGACATAGAGAGAGAGAGAGAGAGAGAGGGGGGGGGGGGGCATACAGACAGAGACAGAGACAGTGAGAAATAACGAGAGACGAAGATAGAGGAAGAGGTAGAGGAAGATATAAGAGAGAAAATAAAAGAGAGAGAGACAAACAAAGAGAATAGAAAGAGAGAGAGTAGAAAGAGAAAAATTAGAGAGAGAGAGAGAAAGAAAGAAGGGAGGGGGGGGGGGGGGGGAGGTGGAAGGGAAGGATCGAGAAGAAATCCCAACTCACTGTACGGGCAAACCCGAATCAGAGATAATTGCACATAGTTTATAATACATACATACACTGGCTGTACTTAAAAAGTGATGATAGATGTGTGAGCTATTCCAAGTAAAAAACAGTTACATTCAATAATTCTGCTCTATTTTCTTCGTACATACATCCTGCAGTGGGAACTCATCATTTTAATGATAATAATACGGAGACACATGAATATTGAAGGCATGGATATTACACATAGTGAGAACAGGTTTTCAGTCATTCATTAATGCATGTCAAGGAGATACAGACGACCAGTTTCGTAACGTATCCAAAACAGAGTGTACAGGCTCCCGCGAGGCGGCCAAACGCGAGCGATTCCACCCACCTGCCAAGAGCGACTGCGCCCCGAATAGATAGAGCGCGAATCGCACACACCAGCCGCAACCAGGCTGGGCAAGCGTTAATGTTTGCCAAACCTAGCAACAACAAATGTGCGCAACCCACACCCCGCCCACCGAAACGCAATCACTCCTAACAGGCGAGCGGAACCACACGCGGACCCGCACACCCAACTCGAACACATTACGAAACTGGTCCATCGAAAAGCGGCGTCTCCTTGCACATAATAACAAGAGTTACATGTTGGTGATGAATATATGAATATGTGAATATTATTACATGCAATTTGTTTGTTTACTCTTACGCTTACATGACTACGAACTTAGCAACACAGCACATGTCAACGAGTATGGGAAGTCAGAGTTTAATTGCATTTAAAAGCCCAGCTCTTTAGACATAATGATAATTCTAAGGTCAACATTTCAGGTGAACTATGTTGATTTACACCAATTTAAGTTAACGTGTGTTGTTAAAGGCTCTAATGGCAAATGGAATGAAAGAATTCAAATAACGGTTTGTCCTGCATTTTGCAGACTGGAGTCGTTTGCCTGATCTCATCCAGCAGAAACATGGATGAAGGGGGTGTTGGGGGTCCTTCATGATATTCTCAACTTTCTTAAGAACACGGACAGAGCATGTATCATCTAGACTGAAATTTTCACCAACTATTTTACCTGCTTGGTTCAGCAACCTTTGAATTTATGTTTGGTCACCCTTCCTTAAACTACAATACCAAGAGAGGCAGCCATATAGGATGGTACTCTCAACGACTGCTGTGTAGAAGAGTTTTAGAATGGTCTTGTCGACATGGAAAGATTTGAGTTTTCTTAGGAAGTGCAGTCTTACATGACCTTTTGCCAGAACATGTTTGCTCTGTTCTACCCAATTCAGCTTCTCATCAATTACTACACCCAGATATTTATATTTCGGAACAATTTCAATGACTGAATTTTGGAGGATAACTGGACTTATAGCAACATTTTGCCTTTTCCTATGATCGAATACAATTTCATTTGTTTTCTTTTCATTGAGTATTAGAAAGTTAGAATCGCACCACTGTACAAAATAGTTCAATGTTCTCCTATATTCTGTTTCGTCGTTCTTTGTGATGAGACCAATGATGACCGTGTCATCGGCGTATTTAAGAATACTTGAATTTACACCATCAGCTTGACAGAGAAAGAAAGAGCCCATTTGCTTCAAACAAAATAGTTTCTATTCAACTCATATTACTCTTGAGAAACACAACAACATGTCACCAATCAACTTACAGTAATCCTTTGTAACGTTGTGATCTATTAATATGATATGAGACGGAAGCAGACTATAAATAAAGAAATGAAATAAACATTTATCTGATATTGAAAATAAATTAACATTTATTCAATGACTGATGAGAAAAGTGAAAATGTTACCTGGTACATGCCAACACCAATGTGTTTGGGGTCAATCTTGACAAGTTCAGCTAGAGGGTCCTGAAGTCTTCTAGCAATTGATACTAAAGCAAACACAAAATAATTTCACATGTGGCTTACTTTCATCAGAACACACTTCATATAAAATCATGTTTTCATACACGAAATTGAAATACTGTATCAACTGATATTACCATCCGTCTTCACCAGCCGGAATGAATCAAACAAAATCATAATATACCGGGTACACATATTTGGTTGATTTCTCAACACCATTTCTTCTTTAATGTTAAGAGATATAAGAGATACATTAAGAGATATCATTTTAATATGATGCGAGTGTGCTTTCACGGGTACATTGTTGACATGTAGTATAATATTTATATTTCCAATCTTCTTTCGAACGAGGTAGAATGTTACTTTCTTTTATATCAATGCAACATGTAGAAACCATAAATTCTTCTTGTAAATTGAGTTTGACTGATTAGCATTGCATAGAAGTTTAGACCCATAAAAGATATGTACCTGCACTCCTAATGTTTGGATCTAAGTTTGGCATCTCTTTCTCAGCTTCAGGTGACACACTGTAGATTGAAGCCCCATCTTCATTCACAATGCTATCACAAGGAAAGTACAAAGAGAGATGTGTTTCCTTTAGTCTAACTGTTAAATCTCTACAAGGTCATATTAGAGGATAAAGGATGAGGAACAGTTTTTGGAACAAATTGTAAATTGTGTGGTTTTTCAAATGAAACCAATAGGAAAACACATGCATACAAATATTTGTAACTGTATTACGGCATGAGGGGTTTAAATAATCTATTAAACTGATCATGACCACCACACAAACTCAGATAATTCAATATGAAAAAGATATCTGTACTGCTACACTTAGACCATGCTTGGCTGGTTTATTTAATTGTATATTCATGAAATGCATTCATAACAAATGTTTCAGACAAATGTATGAATGATGAAAGGAAAGAGTCTGTTATTGAGATGGGACTTTCTTTCTCTTATGAACTTGACAAAAAAACAGTGGAAAGTATAAAGATACAATGAAACTAGTTCATCTTCTTGGTAAAGTTCAAATTTCATTGAAGGATTAAAATATACAAAAGCTGTAAAAATGTCTTATAAAGATACAGGTAGTCTTGACTTGATGCTGATTCTTACCAATATTGGACATGAAGTGGTTGTAATGAACCAGACCTGATGACCTCTGAAAAGAACTCCTCAGTTTCACGACATGCTGTTCCATTGCCTATACCAATGGTTTCACACCTGGTGTAGAGAAAACATTATGTGCAACATCTATAATTCTATATTTGAGAGAGTGATATTAGATTATCAAGAATTTCGAGTGAACAGTCTTTTTTAGTGACAAATTTTGTCCAAAATAAGATAAAAGCAACAATATTTTACCTCATACAGGTTCACGTGAATAGCATTAAATCCTTTCATTTACTGGAATAGAATTCACAGGAGATTCTTTTCAGGGCTACTACAAATAATACTTACCAGTACATAATTACTGTATTTATGGCATGCATTCAAACTAAATTAATAATGAAATTGTGGCTTTTGCTTCAAAGATACATGGTGCTTAAGTGTAGTAAGCTAATAAAAAAAAAAAAAAAAAAATAGCTTTTAGTACACTTCATATGCCTATAGTTCATGCCTTTTATAGCTCTGTATTCTCAAGAAAAACAAGAGGGCACACATTCCACCTGTCTACAAAAACAATGCCATGGTCATCAAAAGCAGCAAGAGCAGAGCTGCCAACCCAAACTCAACAAAATTCCTGTTCTTTTCCCCCTAAAAAATCCTATTTTCAAAACAAAAATCCTTTGTTTGATTGATAAGTTCTTTCTTTTTGTTAAACTGTGTTCGTTGATATTTTGAAGAATTATGCATGAGTACATTTTACAAACAATTTGTTGAATATGCAAGAGTTTGTCTTGAATGATCATTCAATGAACCAATGAGTGGCATGTAAATGTTTTTGTACGGACCATTGGTTGAATATGCATGATTTCTTCATGACTGGTGTGTTCGATGAGCTGATGAACACCCCCAAATTGCAGATGTGAGATGCTTGTAGGATACTTTACAGGAGAGAATGGTCAAGAAAATAGCACACACACACAAAATACACAAACACTTTCAAATGTTCAGATATTTTTTTTTTGTGTGTATGTGTATTTGTGGAAAGTCACATTTTATTGAGGAAAATCGTACTGTCGTCATTACTTTGTACAAAATTGTACAAAATACGATAAAATTGTACTGGTTGGCAGCTCTGCAAGAGTAAATAGTTAAACATAAGGTCTATTATTTTGTATGACATCACACGAGAGGTCATCAAAGTTACCTTTGTATCAAGCTTATTTAATATCCTATGACAACATTAGTGTACTAGGACATGAGCTTATTTACTGGCAGGTAAAGTGAGAAACATCTTACTTGAATGTCTGGATGAGGTCAATCATTTTGTTTCTCTCATAGTATTTGTTGCCTGTATGCATTAAGCTCACACTAGTTGTTAAGATCTCCCCTAGATCAAGAGATGAAGGGAAGAGAACAAGAACAAATCACAGTTTGATTTATCATTAACATGCTAACTCAAAAGAAAATTATCTATAATTGCTACACAAATAGATTCCTTAAGGATAGCATTAGTTTGAAACGTTATCAATAGGTAAATGCTTTGCGATAAATACAACAATGTGTTAAGCTTTTTTTTTCTTCCAGTTTGCCATAATAATACTGGAGTAAAAACACATCATAAAGTAACAATTCTCAAAAAAAGTTCAACCAAAAAAATGCATCTGAAATTGCTTCTGAAAGAAAGATCAAGAGTCTCCACTTTTAGGTCTTCCAAAAATAACTCACAATGAGCTTTGCCTCCAAATTGCAAAGTGAGCTTGTTTACAACTGTACACCAATATAAAGCTTTTTAATTGTACACAACATACATAAATTTCACATATTCCATACATGACTTCAAGTAAATAATCAGAGATTTCACTGTACCTGTGGCTGATATCATGGCTAGCTTGCAGCCATTCTTGAATCCAGGGTCAACGCCCAGGATGACCCGACCTTTGACCGGGGGTGTTAGGAGGAGACGATGAAGATTTTGGGTGAACACTTCTATGGATGCCTTCTCTGCTGTCTTATTCAATGTGGACCTGCATCATAAAAGACAAAAAACAAAATCCACACATGTGTAAGCATTCCTATGTCTACTTATCAATCCCTGAGTTTTATCAAGCAAGTTGTGTCCTTCATTTGAAATGCAGCAACATTTCTTTACATGGCTTAAGCGTAGTAGATTTCATCTATTGGCCAAAGTTACAACAAATCCATCAGATGACACTGCCATTATAGCTCAGTATGAGCAAGTACCACTATTCTCTGTGTTTATCATCATGTGTAGAAAGGCTATGCTAATGTTCTGTGGCCAACTCTATCAAATAAAGGTTGGAGAAAAATACACTTTGGGAATGCAGGAAATTTTGCATTTTTGTATGAACATCACCTCACTGTTAATAAGATCATAATTCTTGGATACGATCAATGCTCAATGGCTAGCAACATTTAAACTTATAAAAGAAGTAATTTGTGACTCTTCTGCTTCTTACCACAAAGTCATATATCCTCTGTAAATATCATGAGAATGATTTTATTTACCTTATCTCTCTGAGGATCATGGGTGACATGAGGCGATTATATGCATCGTCTACTGCCATACACATGATTTTACTGGAGTAGGAGTTGGGTTGTGTATGGGAGCACCATTTTGCTTTACACCAGTTGATGAACTGCTTTGTAAGCCTATCAGGTAGAGTGACTTTAACAGTTAGTGCTTTAAACTCTTCACCTCTATTTATCGCCAACACCTGAAAATATCATGTCAATGAGATATGAAAGAAGATACAAGCACACCGAACAGTCATACATAACATAAATTCATTTCAAATTAAACAAACACTTTGAACAACTGAATAGTCTACCTTCACTAACATTTTAAAGGCCTTAAAAGAAGGAAAAAAAAATTGCTTCCTTATTCCTCTGAACCATTCAATAGAGTTTTTCCTCTCTTTTTTAAAAGTCAAATGCATTTTCCCCCCTTTTAATCAAATTTAAGACAGATACTATTTGTAAAATATCACTTTTTATATAAACTGTGACTACTGGTAATTGTCTACTTGAAATCAGACTTTCTACTCTTTTTCCTTTGATTTGTACATAATACCTTTGTTTTAACTACATCATCTGCTACATTGGACTTATACAGGATAACCAATAGCTGTTATACTTGTGTGTTTCTATTCCTCTTTCAGGAGTTTCAATGTCTAGAGATTTGATCTAAAAATATAAATTACAACTTAAAGTAATATTTCTTGTATACCTGGTGTGGTTTGATTGTGTTGATGGAAAACTTTCCATCAAAATAAGTTTGGAATTTCTCATAGTCCACTTGCTGTTCCTTTTTAGTCTTCTTCCTGGCCTGCCCAGCCTTGCTTACACTCAGGAAGATCTGATCTTTCATATCTTTCACACTACAGATGAGAATACATTACAAGATATAGAACGAGAATGTGTTGATAATAAAAAATACCTGTAATGAATGTTAGTCAATATTTAAGACATTTTCCTGATATATAAATTGAGGATACTGCAGAATAAATAATTTTTTGAAATCATAAAATGAAAGAAAAAAGAGGAAGAAAGAATAGGAAGCAGGAAAGGTAATGTAAAAAGAAGTCGATAAGGCCCACTCCTACACCCTCCCCTCATCTTATGACTTTTTTTTCTCTTGCGTATAATTCACCAACCATTAGTAAGGAAAGCCTACAAGTTACATTACATCCTTAAACTGCTGAATATCTAAAGAAACAATCAGTTTCAACACTCCTTTTATACATTCTATCATTCTACTGCAATACAAAGAAATGAAAATCCTAAATCAATAAGCTTCAAATCTCACCAAGATCTGAGATAGTCTACTGTTGTCTTATCCTTAGACACTACCTCTGCTATGATATGCTGCACTCCCTTCTCCACCTCAGCAGCTGTCCTACAACCTAAATACATAAAGTATTTCAGTTTTGAAATAGAGTATGATGGTTAGAAATCATAAATGTATATCTTTCATGTCTGGAATTTGCTGCAGGCTTTATTTGGTCAAAGATATAATGATAGGGTTAGGGTAAAGATTGGGCATAGTCTTCAGTCCAGGGTTGCGGATATGAATTTGTTAGTTTAGGAAACTGTCAACAGAGCATATGTGATAGGACCAAAGTTATAAGATATCACCCTTTCCAAAAAGAATTCACATTCAAATCTAGAATTCTTTTTTATAAGAACACAATTTCTTGTATTATAAATGTTTAGAGCTATATAACATTAATAAAAAACTTAAGTGTACGAAACTCATCAATATCAGATCTTCTACTTATGAAAATGCAAAATTATGCTAACTTGGTTTGTGACTTTGTGCTATTGTTATTCACCTTCTGTGTCTGGATGGATGAAGCTCTGTATGTTGAATAGACCTGCTGTCTCTCCTAGAAGCTTCTCTGCGGCGGGCTCCAAACCAGTTCTTCTTGCTCTCTCTGCCAATGTGGTCTTACTTCCAGCCTTGAATGGAGCAAACTTGAAATGAAAACCAAATGCATGCATAAAGTATTGTATTGTTAACACAAATCAAATTAAATTATAATCTATTATACATACAAAATCTCTTTATTGAATATTCAGTAGCTAGCTACTAGTTTCAACATGATCTAGTGACAATACCAATGAGAAATGATAACAGTTAGAGAATAGGATAAAATAATAATTCTGAAAATATGCTTACATGAACAGACTTCTTATGAGCTTAAAATGTTCATACTTTTTAAAGACATCTTAATCTGCAAACAATTCTAATGAGATGTAAATTGCCATCCTTTTATCAATTGGAGAGCAATAACATGTAGATGTATACATGTAGTGATAACAAAATGATAAGAGTAAAGCAGATAGAGTTACTTCTACATACCAGTTGCTCAAGCTCTATCATGCTGTGTGAATTGCAGAAGGATTCTCTTAGTTCCTTGGTCAGTTTCTTCTCCTTTCCAAGTTTTCCCAGGTGAGACTTAGTTTTCTCTTGGACAACCCTTGTATTCAGAGAGAATATATCACAATAAATCAATATACTAAAAAAATTGAACGTATTTAATAATATGTGACATCCTAACCAATAAAATCAAGAGGTCATAATTCATAGTGTTCATGCTTCAGATTCTAAGATATTTGTGATGCAGAACAACTTAATCTAGGCAATGATTAAAAAAAAAATCATGTACATTATGGATCAGAACTGGTCTTACTTCTCATACTTCTTACTTCTCAAACTAAAATAAGTCCTTGAACTTTTAAGATAGATGACAACGGTTATAAACTTTTTCCTTGAATATTTACAACAATAGAGGTACAGTTTATCAATTAATAGCAAACATTGGTATACATACTTGAGTTCTTCCAGTGATGATTTGATCTCTCTGATAACAGCTGCCTCCATGTTGCCTGTCTGTTCCTTCCGATAGCGAGCAATGAAAGGCACAGTACATTCCTCTTCAAGGAGCTTCACTACATTTTCCACAATTCTTGGTTGGACAGGGTTACCGTTGCTCCTGTGAATGGAACATGGACCGAACTAAACTATAAAGTTGCTCAACTTGGAAGTTTTGCAAATATGACAGGAATTCAACAGAAAGTGTATAAAGGGCCATTACAGTTTCTGACACTGATTACAGAGTCAATTCCAGTTCAATTCAATATAGCAGATTCTAAAAATATGGCAGATGAAAAAGAAGAGTCAGTAAACAAATCTGAAAATAAGTTTAACACAAAATCAATAAACAAATCAAACAATAAACTAGATAGATGGTAAATGAATTTACAAGAAATCATACAATTATCCACCTGCTATCACAAACTACTTAGTTTGGGGGAATTTTTTTTACTAGAGTTAGGTTTGGTGTTGTTTTATCTCATAAATTTACTTTTTTCAGCTGGTGTTGATTTGAAAAGTTGCTACAAATCAACACATTATGAAATCTTTAATAAAGTAGAATGAGTGAAGAATCAAATTACCTGATTCCTGATTCATTAAGCTGATCACATATGACATTTGGAGGATGCCAGGGAGGGCCATCATAGAAAGACAGTTCATTCAGGTCTTCCTCATCGGACGAAACATCAAGTGAACATGGTGTGAGCGATATTCTCAGAGATCTTCTTCTTGACTTTGCCATCTCATGGTAAGCTAAGCAATCCTTAAGAAAATTAAAGGAAGATGTGCATACATGTAGATGATCTTTTTAAAATCTAGATAAAATAGTTAGATTGTAATTTGTTAGATTTACATAATAGACTAAAGACGCACTCACAGTCATGCATGGTACATGTTCAATTCTATGTAGACTCTAGTCAGTATACTGTAGATGTAGTCTACAGACAGTCTACCAGGGGCCCGTTCCTAGAAACCGTCATAAGTCTAACTTCTTGACTAAATCAGCGTTAGTGAGCAACTTGTCCGCTACGTGTTTCACCAAGCCCTCTTTGCCAAGATCAACGACAACATCCTGACTAAGTAGTTATGACGCCTCTGACACCGTTGTATCTCTGTCATAACTATTTAATCGATGGGCAGCGCCATCACATGTCATATATTGCGTAGACTATGGCTGGCGAAAAAGGACAATAAATCCTCCAACTATGATTTTTCAACACATTCACTTAAACAGTGAGTTATCGTTTTTTGTGTTTGATAATCTTATGAAAATATGCCATGTTTGTATTTAAGGATTTTCCCACTTAAATAAACTGATTATACGCCTCTATTTCCACATTGTAAAATTGTAGAAGGGATAGGTATTTTGCCATGGCAGGCAAGCCATAGTTTGAAGTGTATTCTTTACTTTTCAGACCCATATTGCCTTCGAGATAAATTCTATCTTCAAATGTGTCAAATGAATAGTATAAAACATGTTTTTTACCGTTTGGAATGTTGAAGTATTGTCATTTGATTATTCAACTGACACCTAAAACATTGGACACAAACTTCATTACATCGTATTTTTCTAAGAATAATATATTGGTGTATTTTTATAAACTATCAAACGAAAATATCCGGTGGGTACCCATCTCAAGAACAAAACTGATTCACCTGTCATGTAATGAAATACTCACAATTATATTTTACAAGTACTTCTATTGTATAATCTACACAAATTTGGAAGTATATTGCATCTCTTATTTCTTGGTATCATTTTCAATATATTTTATTACTAATTCATTTAAATAATTGCATTTTCCCTAATATTAATTTTGTAATAATCTGGTGGTATTGTGACTAAGGCCAAGTCTCGGCTCCTCTTCTCGCCGATAGTATCGATCTCAGGAGATACTAGCTAGTAAGCTCTTCGTGAAACGGTTTAGGGAGATCAGAGACATCTCCGTAGTTGGCGGATAAAGTTACGACTGTCTTGTCGTTGGTTTCTAGGAACGAGCCCCAGTAATCTACTTTGAGTTTGACTTGTGAGTAGAATTATTTAATTTAAAAAGAAACTTTAAAAAAAAGTAAAAGTAAATTTCAGATAAAATACGACTATATACGGTCGATGTGACTGCAGCAATCACGTGTGTGCAACATACGTGAAAACAAAGAGTGAGAAGAACTTTGGTCCGTTTCGTGAACGCTGACCTAGACCAAAGTTTCTGGGCAAACCCGGACTTTAGTGCCCAGCTGAAAATCTCAGTTTATTATGGATTTAATATCAATAATATTAATTATGCTAATATATGCAAATATAAACATACCAAAACTTGATGATTTTTAATCATTTGACGTCATAAAAAGCAATTTTAAGCCAAAAATAGCAGCGAAGTAGGGGATCTCCTCTTTGCTTGATGCGAGATACTAGCGAACTGAAATAACCGAATAAAAACTATGGTGAACTAAAAAAAGAAAAGAAAAAATCAAACCACCTCTGAAATTACCTTTGAAATGTTTATTAATTTTTTCTTCCGATATGCGCACATGATAGGGGCAGGTTGGGATGGGATGGGGGGGTGCTCAATAGTCGCCAAATTTGGGGTAAAAGGGCAACTGGCCATTTTTTCTTTTCTTTTTTTAGTTCACCATAGTTTTTATTCGGTTATTTCAGTTCGCTAGTATCTCGCATCAAGCAAAGAGGAGATCCCCTACTTCGCTGCTATTTTTGGCTTAAAATTGCTTTTTATGACGTCAAATGATTAAAAATCATCAAGTTTTGGTATGTTTATATTTGCATATATTAGCATAATTAATATTATTGATATTAAATCCATAATAAACTGAGATTTTCAGCTGGGCACTAAAGTCCGGGTTTGCCAGTTTCTGTCTCCTTCGTTCGTTAGCCTCTGAGTCTGATTTGAGTAGGGTCGGCTCCTACCCAAATCAGAGGCTCACGAACGAAAGAGACAGATTCCTACCCAAATCAGAGGCTAATGAACGAAAGAGAAAGAGAAACTTTGGTCCAACCCTGACCATGTCGAAATTAAGTTGCTGACTAGCGACCGTTATTCAAGCTCATTTGCTGGTAACTCCAGCGATCCAGGACTCAGGAGCTTCCTGAAGTTAATTTACGTGCAGTTATCCAAAAAAAGATGTAGAGTCTAGGTCTAACGTTAGATTCTAGGGTCTAGAAGGCGTTAACTAGTATTTGCCAAGCTACACTTCCTTTATTCCACTCTCCATGGAGCTCCATCGCCGCCGCCGCGCAGTTCCGTTCTCTGGAGTTTACTTTATACATGTTTGTACGTGTGCAAGTGTGCCACCGACCGGCTGACGGGAACCTGGCCTGCCGGCGGGGCGGGGGCCGGGGCGCGCGCTTGGCCATCCGCTAGTCCGATACCGTAGCGAAAAATTTGAATATCGCGCTGAAAAAGAGAAGAGAAGTTGAGGTCTACCACGCCATGTCTTTGATGCAAATTTCACAACCTCATTCAAAAGGATAAAATATACAGTCTTGTCGTTCATATTCTTATCCATAATATGCGACATTACCTTATAGTCTACTGGCCTAGATTTAGTCGATTGTGAGGTTTACGCCGGAGTCGAGTTAAAGTTAAAGTTAAAGGTCTTGATCAACTAGCCTGTCTCGCAGGCCGATGGATTGATTTATCTTTTGCTTTCACATTTTTGCAACTTGATTCTGCATAAAATCTGGAATGAAAAATTATTAATTTTTTTTTTCTTGTATAAATAAAAAGGAAACATTGAAAATTGGATAAGTGCAATCGGCATATCTTAAACTTTCAATAAAAAAAACAACAACTACTCTATCTAAACTTAAGAAAAGACTAGAGTCTAGACTCTACACTGCGGCCCTATGTACCCTCGACCTCCTCCCACCTTCCTTGCATCGCCTAGCCTGTATGGCCTTCGTTTGTTTACAGGTCTAAATCTATTTCATGTAATCTTACATTATACTGTAGGACCACATTCGTAATTCATGATGGATGTAGCGGTTTGTCTCCAGGATTTTGAGGACTTTGCCACCACATACCTCCCCAAGAATGCCCTTGATTATTACAGGAGTGGTGCGAATGACGAACAAACCTTGGATGATAATCGAGAGGCATTTAAAAGGTAGGTCTAACTTACTAATGATTGTTATATTGATAGGCCTAATAGCTCCATTTGAGTACATCCCTTTTTACAGAGTATAATTGCCGTACTAATACTGAGGTGTGCAAGTTGACCACTTTACCGGGGTTTCCCCCTCGGCCTCTTATACAAAATAGTGCAGGGGGTTCTAAAGACACTCAGTAGTCAGCTCTCATGGGAAATTCTCCAAGAGATTATAGGGGGGGGGGGGGGGGGGAATTCTTGACTGGCCAACAGGTTTGCTGTGTGCAGATTTGTACTCCCATCAATGGTATTTCCACCAAGTCTGGAGTCAGCGAATTATGGCCTTTTGCACATGGAAACTGACGCGTGACTCCCTTTAACGTGCAAAGGTAGTGACTCTTCTCTACAAGGGGCCTCCATTTAACGTCCTATCCTAGTGTTTTCCAGTTAACATACCCTGCGTCGAAATAAGGGCACGTTGACACACAACGCAGGCTTCAGTCATCCGCCTGGGTGGGATTCAAACTCGAAATCTTTGGTTCGACAGGCAGATCAACGCTTTACCGACTGAGCCAACTCGCCTCCCCGGGCGAGTAGGGGTAGCTAGGGTAGCTAGGGTTTTGGTAAAAAAAAAAAAAAACTGTCTGCATTAACCAACCAGTCCACTCTAGACCGAAAATTTCTGTCTCTTTCGTTCGTTAGCCTCTTATTTTGGTAGGGTCTGCTCCTCTCTTTAGAAACAGAAGAAGCCGACCATCATTGACCATAGGGTCTCCATTGCAAACTTTGTGGCCAGATCTGGCCACAAAACTTTGCCCAAAATAGTCAATTTTAGCGGACACATGCACATATCCAATGCATACTAATTTTATACTCTAATATTAAGCCTAGAGGCTAAACCACAATGATTCCACTTACCAGATTGACTGTATGATGCATTTAAGGGTCTTTTTTCTGAATTTTCTTCGTCAAAATTGAGCTCCGTGTTGAAATTCTTGCAGTCGTATTTTTAACTATTACTGCGCATGAGGGAAGATGACGTCATCCATTGACAGTAACTACAGTTGGAAATAGTTATACACAGTATTACAAATAAAGGCATAGAATGGTCGAGTTTTAGTGACAAAAAGAAAACCGACAGGCCTATGAAGTATGAGGATAAAGTTGGCCTTGATCTGTTAATCTGTTAAGTGTTGCTAGTATTTTTTTTCAAACTGCAGAAGGAAATTTGTTTCCATAATTTCTTTTGAAATTTTAAATCAATTTTTAAACACCAATGTAATAGATTATCAAGTATCTGGTTACTAAGAAAGTTTGAAGTGGTCATATCTTTTTATGCTCGTCATACCCACATAATTAAATATATATCTATACAAGTATATTTCATCAATCGTTCCAAAAGATATGTTGATCATATAGATAGCAAATATTCCCAGTATGTAGTGCTACTTTTTATGCTTATGTTTTGCAAAATCATATGCCAAACATGACAGCTATAACCATTTATTATTAAGTGTTAAGTGTTCCTATCTGAGTTCATAACTTTAATTTGACAATTTGTTCATTTAGATTGAGACTGTACCCCCGTATCCTCCGAGATGTGTCTAAGCGTGATATGTCAACCACTGTGTTGGGTCAGAGGCTCCCTTATCCCATTGCCATAGCACCTACAGCTATGCAGAGAATGGCCCATCCTGATGGCGAAGTGGCAACGGCACGTGGTACGATCAAACCTCATTCTAAACTTCTAAAGCTACTCAAAATTTTCACAATTTGAATAAAAATGCTGGTGATGAAAATGTTAATAAGATGATACTTTACAGAGAGCTTAACAATGCAGTATTCTATGTACTATATCTCCAAACCTTGATAACTTGTGCGTTTTGAGTCAACATTGCACCTAATCAATTGAATGTAAATATATGAACAAAAGTACTATTAATTACCTTTCTCCAAATTTTTTTTCAAGTTAACAAAGAAAGCCTTCCTTGTAAATGCTGATTAAAAAATAACTTTTCCACAATATGTGGATTATATCAGCTTTTTCCCCGAAAGATCATTGTATTGATAATAAACGTATTTCAGTATCTCTACCGATTACTAATTTTTGTTACCCCTACATATTTTATCTCTTCTTAACAATCTAAACCCCATCACAGCGTCTACATCGATGGGCACAGGTATGATCCTCAGTTCTTGGTCTACCAGGAGCATTGAAGAGGTGGCTGAGGCCTCACGGAATGGATTGAGATGGTTCCAGCTCTACGTCTACAGGGACAGGGACGTCACAAGAGATCTCGTCAAGCGGGCTGAGAAGGCGGGCTATAAGGCTATTTTTGTGACGGTGGATACACCCATGTTGGGAAAGAGACTGGCTGATATGAGGAACAAGTTTTCCTTGCCGGAGCCATACAGGTACAGTAGGATACATGTATTTGTGCAGCTCTTTGATGTTGAGGAACTGTTTTAGGTGGACTCCCTGTCAATAACTTATAAAAGTTAGCTTGCTCTTAAGTCTTAACAGAATTATTACCTCCATTTTTATTGAAAAGGAAAAAAACAAAAACAAATTCAAAGCAAATATTCAAACTTAGGTATACCCATAACAAAGTTTCATGAAAAAATTTAAAAGTATAAAAAAGTAGTTGTGATTGAATTTTTCAAAAGAAATGAACTTTTATATGAATGGGTAGAACCTATGATAATTACTCTGATTCACTGTACTATGTTTCTTTATATTGTTGTATACAGTATTGTGAAAAATTACATACTGATAATGGTAAAAAAGTGTAGCTTTACCAATTTACTTCTGTCTCACTTTCAATAGAATTTCAGAATAATAACTTAAATCCTCTGTACAACATGTAACAAAAGGTTTAGATAGCAATAGCAATAAATATATGTCAAAAATGCCTACTGCTCAATCTATCTAACCTTTGAAAGTAACAGACATTAGGCCTTTAACAAAAGAGTTGTATTGCCTTTTAGGTGCCAAAACAGGTCGGTTGGTCAGAAATATTTTTTTTCTTTTTCTTTTTTTCTTTTTCTTTTTTTTCTTTTTTTCTTTTTTTCCTTCTCCCTCTTTGGGCTGATATTTCTCAGTTTTTTATTCATTAAACATTTTTTTTCCAAAAAAGGGTAAACAAAAGAAACTTTTTCAAAAAGCCGACCATAGATTTTAAGATTTTGGGGTCAGTCGCAAAGGGCAATACAACATCTTTTTTTTAGGCCTTATTGTATAAAGCAAATCATGTTTTTTATGAGACTGGTTATTGGTAAATGATATACATGTATAAAAGTGCATGGTATGTGCTGTTGATTTTGAAAATTGATATTTACCTTGTTGAAAAGACCTTTTAATGGTTTCAAAGTGCATATCCTGTGCAAAGTAATATGTTGTAAATCATGTTCATGGTCTGATACAAACATGAAAGTTGAATAGATTCTGTTCTTTATTTGTACAATATATGTTTGTACAACAATACATATGTATATATGGATATTACTTGATGAGACAAGATTGTACTTATTCTCCCTATTTATAAACTGCATTGTGTTGAATGTGAGTGTAAGTTCTTCATTTCAACTCTTTAATGAATGGAAGATAGTTTGAAATACTTTCTGGTAGATTGTTGAAATTACAAGTTTATTATCATGACTTTGATAGCATTATTCATAGAATTACAAGTTACCAACAATAACCAAATCAAATATACACCTACAGAGTTGGTACTTGATGTTGGCAGTGTAAGTCCACTGAATTTGAGAAGTGAAGTGAAATACAGATCTTTCAATAATAATTTATCCAATAATAAGTGCTGAATGAAGTGGAGCATTCAACTGTCTTCTCCCTAAGCTGTGTATTTATTTCATTGTTTTGTTCAGTGCATGACAACATGATGAAGTTAAAACATTATTTTACCATTGAACATAAACAGATTTTCCATTACACATGTATTTTGCATTTTTATATTAATTTGTATCATCTTTATTTCTCATTGCCTTGATAACATGGTACAGATTAGCCAACTTCACCATCAAGACAAACCGGGGTGGAGTACAGGGATCATCCAGCTCTGGTCTATCAGAGTATGTAGCATCATTGATTGATCCTTCACTAAGCTGGAAGCACATTGAATGGCTCAAAACTATCACATCACTGCCAATCATACTCAAAGGTGTCCTCACAGGTAAATAGAGATACGAGTTGGGTTTTTGTTGTTAAAGAGGACCAATTACAAAAAGAATAACTTGTATATCATAGGTAGACACAAAATTACTCCTCACCCCCAACAAAAAAAGAAAGAATACAAGACATTTTAATGCAGATTGAAGGGCATAAGGAGAACAAAATTAATTTTTATGCAGACCCTTAACTCAAAGTTGTTGCACATGCATGTGAGTGAAGATAATATTATCTAACATAAGTAATAATTAAAACTGATAACTTTGAATAAAGTTTATTAGCAATGGAATTCCAACATATAGAACAAATTTTTTTCTGTGATTAGTTTCTTTTATAATAAATCTTATTTTTTAAAATTAATTTATAAATCTGGAAGTATGCATAATTTGAATTTTATCATTCCTTCACACTATCAGGAGGATTAAAGAACCGGCATTACATTAATATTTTACCACAAAAAAAATAAATCTCAGTTAGTATTCAGCTCTCATCCTTTCTTTTAAGGTTAAACGATTATCAGGGACAGTAATTTTGCAGTTCTATACAGAAGTAGTAGTATAAAGAAAATAGAAAATAGAAAATCTTTGTTAATACTTTCATTCCCATGAAATTGACTTATCTCTGTATTTTGTTACTTTTGTTTTCTACCATTGTAAAGCTGAGGATGCGAGGGAAGCTGCAGCACATAATTTAGCTGGTGTGGTGGTATCTAACCATGGAGCGAGACAGCTGGATGGGGTTCCTTCTACAGTAAGTTCACTACAAATCTTCTTCAAATTGACCATTTCCCTAATGTAACCAAATTGAATACATAAGTCTATGTGAAGTGCCTTAAAACAAAATGTTTCTTTCGCGTGTTGTATTTCAATAGTCAGGGTACGAATTACATACATTATTTGTTGCTAGGTAGAACTAACATTATTGATTTCCATACGTAGCAGCATATAATATTTGCAATATGCATTCTAACTATTGAAATACAATTATTTGTAAAATGTGAATGAAATCATTCATTTCATGGCACTTCACATAGATATATGAATTAAATTTGGCTACATGATGAAAATGGCCTAGTGACCATCAAATTTAAGAAGATAAGAGTTTTGTCCAGTTTTATGGTTTAAAAGTTTACTGAGGGATATGTTTATGCCTCCATAACAAAGAACCCGGAGGCATTATAGGTTTTCGGGCTGTCCGTCCGTAAGTCCTCTGTACGGCCCGTTCTCGTGATCGCGTTATCTCAAGAACAAATTGATGGATTCCTGCCAAACTTGGGTCATGTATATATCTTGCAGAGTCAATGAACTGATTAGATTTTGGGGTCATGAGGTCAAAGGTCGCATGGATCATTATGTATGCACAAAAAAGCTTGTGATCACAATATCATTAGAACTGATTGACAATTTACCATCAAAATCAAGACATGTTTATATCTCGCTGGGCCAATGAACTGATTAGATTTTGGGTCAAAGGTCATTGGGCTCATTCTGTTTGCAAAAATAGCTTGTGATCGCTTTATCATTAGAACCGATGGGCGGATTACCATCAAACCTAATTGTGGTGTACTTTTATTTTCCACCTTAACCTCTATCACTGTTAACTGTCTTTGGGTTGTAAAGCAACAACCCAGAAAATGCAGACCAACATTTAATTATCACATTTGAGATTACACAGCTGATACTTCATGAAATGTTTCTTGTTACATTTTGAATAGATTGATGCCTTGCCTGAGGTTGCTGATGCTTTGAAAGGCACTGGATTAGAGGTTTATCTTGATGGAGGAGTCAGGACTGGGACAGATGTTCTTAAGGCAATAGCCCTTGGAGCGAGGGCAGTGTTTGTCGGTCGACCAGCATTGTGGGCATTGACTTGTAATGTAAGTGCACTCTTATAACAAATGCTCTGGCCGCAATAGCTCCACAGTCGATATCCTACTTACTTTTAATAACCAAATTCTTAATTTTAAACCTTGACCATACACTATACCTAATCCTAACCCTTAATCTAACATAAATCCCTGATGCAATTGTAATTGTAACCCTATATTTTTGATGACATATCGCTCTTGGCTGTGCAATTTTCTCTGAAAAGCTAATATAAATTAAACACCTTGCCCTAAGTGATAAGTCCTTGCTGAGGTTCAAAGCATGACCTTTGTATAGGCCTTTGTACAGCCAAGCAAGCAATCAAAAATAGATTATGCCACCTTTAGTCATGCTGATATTGGTTATTATGTGAAATCATTATAGTGTCACAGATGGGCTAAGAGACTGAGATAATAGTTATCATGCTACATCTGAAGTAGTTAAACAAGAAAGATGGAACAATTTATCTTTAAGTGCTTGTAACACATTACATTCTTATTACATTCTTTTATCAGTATTTTTTTATATTCTTTCTTTCTCTCTCTCTCTCTCTCTCTCTTACAATTTTTACTTAATCCTTTTGTCTTTACTTCCTTTATTTTTACATAACTTATTTGTAACCCCTACCCTATCTCATTTTAATCTGTCTGTCTTTTTTTTCTTTCTGTCTATCTCTGTCTCTGTCCCTGTCTCTCTCTTCTCTTCTCTCCATATCCATCATACAATATCCAGGGTGAAGCAGGAGTGAAAAGAATGCTGGAGATCTTGAAGGATGAATTCAGTCTTGCCATGGCTCTTACAGGTAACACTTTTCTTTTAATGGAAACCAATGCCCTCTTACCAGTTATTATTTTATTTGGGGGAATAGTACCCCTCTAGTTTTCAACAACTTGGAGCTGCTCGTTATTTTATATACCTTACATTCAATTAACTAATTCTAGTTTTGCACTTATTGCTCTTTCCCCAAATGATGAACATTGATAATTTACTTTGTTTAATTCTTCATATTGTTCACAAAGCATGGTCTTGTCAAGCAATTTGACACTTTCGTCTCACAACTCTGAATATTTTTTTGTTGTTGTTCAACACAATAAAGTTTAAGATATTTTTTGATAACATCTTTGAAATAGGGGATTTCATTGAGAAAGGGTGAATGACAATACATCATAAACTCTAGTGAAATAGACATTGAAGATCAAGAAGAAAAATTAAATAATAAATGTAACAAAAAGAAGAAAAAAAAGGCCCGTTCAAATTTTTAGGCAATGCTTAACTCCCACTGGAGTCAAGTTTATATGTGCCTCCAACTTCTGACATCTAAACTCTCAAAAGTTTAACAAGTGGCCCATGGAAACTATGCTTAAAGATAAACTTGAGTACTGGTAATGCAATTGCATTGTGAAAGAAAAGGTGTGGAATGGATCAGAAAAGTTGATCATATAGCATGTAAGTAATGGTGTGTAATGCAAGGTTCTAGAGTCATCAAAATCATCATAAATTTGGCAGAGTCTTGGTAAAGTAACAATCACTTACACAGATAGATGTATATGGGACAACACACATAGTGTCGGGGCTAGTACTACCCTGATTTCCTTATCTTTCTTTCCAAAATTGTTGGGCACATGACATTTATTTGTAATCTTGAACATTCAATGTAAGTTTCGTTAGATTCTGTGAGAATTCATTTTCTTTTTTTACCAGAACTCAAGTTTATCTTTAAAACTAGACTCCAGAGAAAAATCACTAAATTCTGTCTACAACTCTGCTTTAAAAATCTATAATGTATAAATCCCTTTCTCTCCCGTTTAAGATTAAACATATATATGATTATGTATTTATTCATTTAAACGTAATCGTTTAAATGCATTATTTTATGAGATTTGGCAAAAGACAACTGGCAGTTATTTGAAACATGTTGGAGTGATTGTATAAATATAGTCATCCATTAACATTGTTTTCTTTGTTTCGTTTCATTTGCTTTTATCAAGGTACCACATCTATTTCAGAAATCACCAGAAGACTTGTTAGAAGACAACCACCTTCTTATACATCTTCAAAACTATAATAGAGTTATCCTAGTGATCATATATTTCTACCGTATATACTAATGAAAGATTATATTTTTTACTACACGTGTTCAGTCGACCATATTATGTAAGTTTATAGGAATTTAAACTTTCATGTTATTCCTACTGATATTATGAGATGATGGAGGAGTGGTTGTGGATGGGATTCACAACATCTGCCGATTTCCCCCCAAAGTAGGTTAATGAACCTTCAATCCTGCAATGTGTATTTACTACCAACAGGTCTTTCCTCAAAGGTGATTCCCTGCTATGTGTCCCTTACGATATTTAGCCATACATTTCATCCATGAATGAAAAATCTCTTGATTTGACTATGATTTTAACTAATGGTACTGTTACTATAAAACACCTTTATTCAATGGTCATATCAAGAGATTCTTTATTTGAGGATGAACTTTGTGGAAGAAAGACATATCATACGGGAGACATTGCATGGAATTGCCTTAATGCACATACTATTAAACCACTTCAAAGGATCCACGTTCTGAGGGAAATTTCTCAAAATTGTATCTCTTTGATCACTCTTCCATCTAATGTAGCTATACTCCAATCAATCCTGAATAAGATGCAGTCCCAGCAGTGAGTAAAATTTGATTATTAGAACTATTAGTAATAAGTAGTAGTAGTATTAAAAGGGAAATCCAATTTGTCTGGTGGTGGAAGTAACTGTGGTGCAATACAAACAGATACTCTGGCAGTACCTACTTTAAATCACACCACTTAAAGATTGTGATAATGTTCTTGTATCAGGTAAAGTATATGTATCCATTTGACATACATTCATGATGAATCTACTAATAATCACGGATATCATATTATAAGTTTGTTTAAGTGTTGAAAGAAGATTAATGACCAAAAAAAGATTATTTTCAATGTGAATCATTTGTCTTCATTTATTTTGTGAATATATATACCGGTACATGTTTATTTTTTTTAAGTTGACCTATGAAGGGCTAGCTTAAGTGTTCATTTGTGATAATAATTTGAATCTGAAATAACAATGTTTGCATCTCTTTAGTCTTTAGATATCACTTACACAGTATTATCAATGTTTTCATTCACTATTGGGAAAATTTAGAAATTGTTCCCAAAAATAAAAACACCTAAAATAAAATTGACGATTGACTGAAGTTATTCAGTGGAAGAAAACAAGGATACATGTGAAGCCAGATGAAATTCACTAATGATGGATTATATGACTTATTGCCATGTGTCACAAAATGAAAGTTGTGTTTATCTATGTTTCCAAAATATTTTTGGAAGTTCCCTCCCGAAATTACCTCATGACAAGATGTGTTAAATTTGAAATATTATATATTTCATCGATATTCAAGTAGACCATGATCTAATAGATGCCTTATTTCATTCTTTGCTTTAGAAACAAGCAATAAAATTATGACAAATGACATTCTGTACTTTGAAAATATGCTATTATATGTCAAAAATTCAGTTATGTACCATGACGTAAGAATAATTCAAATGTTTGAAAACTCTATGATCAAGTGTAAATGTTACCTACACTTTTTTTTTTATGCCAAGCAACGTTTCTTGTGCATTTATTATCTGTTCCCCATGTTCACAAAGTACATGTATCATTTATGTGTGTTGTTGCTATAGGTTAGGGTTCAGATATTTTGAATTTTAATGGAGATATATTCCTGAGAGTTTTTATTTGAATAATGATATGTTATGATGATCATAATGTGATTATGTAAGTGATGTGTGACGCCAGGTGACTGAATTATAATGTCTCTCCATGAATAGTTCATTTAATGAACGGCAGTGAGACCAATAAAACAAAACAGATATTATGGATATTGATGTTAAAATCTGTCATTTATTAATGTTAGAGAGAGAGGAAGGGTGGAGAGCAAGACAGACAGTAAAGGAATGAGATAGAAACAGAGAATTTGAGAAGATCTAATTTGATAATTTCCTGATACATGTATATATCACCTCTGATTCATGCTAAGCCCTCACATGCAGAACACAAATGCCCAGAGAGAAAAATGGCTCTCTTTATAACCCATCCTTATAGTGGGCCTGAACTGTGAGAGGGGAGAGCAGTTGCTCTTGGTTGCCAAACGGGCCGGTCATGTATCATGTATCTCCTGTTTGTTCATTCGTTTCGTCCAACGATAATCAAGTTGCACGGGGAATACAAAAGGTCTTTCACATTCAAGGCTATTGAAAGTGTAAGATAGTAAACATTTTTCTTCTTATGTTGTTCATTAATTGTCACATTTAGCTTTCCATACACTTCCCTGTTTTCATTCCCTAAATTATTCTTTTTTATTCAAACATTGTTCCTTTTGTCCTTTTCTTCATTGTACTTAAGGACCTATATTTCTGCTTACACACTCAATTGTCAGTGATTTCTATTCTTTCGTCCATACTTCTTAATTATTTCTATTGGTTCTCTTTCTCTCTCAGGCTTTTTCATTATTTTGGACTTGTCCATTTTCTATCATCTGATTAGTAAAGTATTATTATTATTATTTATTTGACCAATCAGAAACATACAATGAGTATAACAATCAGATATACATAGAAATATCATAATACATGCAACAGTTTTAGGAAAGTGGAGAGGAGAGAGAAAGAAAGATACAATCTGCTGGTCAGGGGTGACAAAAGCAATTGAAATTGCTATTACTCGACAGCATGTCACCCCCAGTAAAGTTGTATAAAATGTTCTGTGTATGAATGTTCTGTAGAGAGTAATCTGTAGTACAAAAAAAAAAAAAACCAGAGTACTACAGGACTTCAACCACTATAGACATTTTTCAAATATAATTCTAGCTCTCATTTAGCTCCTCACTTGGAGTTAACTTTGATAATTAGTTTATTGTAGAATAGACTGATTTAAGTTTCTGATTGACTGTTTGTGTGGTGATTCTCAGCTTTAATTTAAAAGATTTACCAAAGCATCCCACTGTAATTCAAGGAAACAAGAGATACCTTATAATAGGGGTCTTAAAAATGTCTGAGAAACCCTCGTTTCATACGAGAGGGTTTGTCAGGATGGTGCCGAATAGGAAAGGACAGGATTTGGTAACCTGGCATATCATGATAATAATAATAACAACGAAAACCCTGACAACAAATGCAGGGACACCAATGAATAACAAAATTAAAACAAAGAGAGACCAGTTAATTATAAAATAATAGTCAATAATAGTCAAATTCAACATAAACAAACCTTTCTGGTATGCATACCCGAGAACAATCACCTATTAGTCAACGAAGACACTCAAGCTTGGACATTGAGCTCCATTCAGTTATTTGTTTCTTTATTCATCTATCCAGGGCCCTCTTTTATGACGAGTAAATACCTGGCTATCATTGTTTGCATATTGAAAAGTAGTAGTTAACCCCGCCCCCCCCCCCTCACTCAGTGTTATTTAGGGTACGCATATGCTCGTTCCCTCTTTTTGAAAGCACCCCCTATCTGAGGACTGCCAACATTTCCGAACCCCCCTTTCGCGGGCTTTTCGCGGGCTTTTCCTGCCTTGGAGACCCCCCTAAATCAGGAAAAATGCTCAATGTACCCCCCTAAATTCGGAATAATTTCTCAGGAGTCCAAAGAGATGAGAGAAAAAAAAGAAAAAACACCCCCTTTTTAAAGAAATCTCCGGGTGAAAAGTCAAATACACCCCTTTTTTTACAATTCTCGGGCCGGACTTTGTCGCACGAAAAGTACCCCTTTACCGGACATTTTGGCAACACGCATGCGGTCATTTCGAAACCTGAGTGGGGGGGGGGGGGGGGGCCGGGTAGTTAACACCCTGGGAAATGCTTGGGTGAATCTGTAGAGGGTGAACATCGACCATCTCACACCGTTCCCCCCCCCCTCACCCACCCCCACACCCGCTTTCATAATTCAGTGCGTTCACAGTCATGGAATTCCCGATCGGTTCTGTAACCCGGCCATACCAAGAATATTATTAGTCCAGTCGATCTAGCGATATTTAGGGGGTAACCAACCACTAATTGCAAAATAATTTATGCCACTGCAATGCATTTCAGTAAGCTCACCTAAGCAGAATATTTAAAGCCTCAATAAATCCACTGGAAATAAGCTCGCGAGCTTTCCTGTTCAAGCTGACTTATTTTTGATTTGTTATTATTGTATATTATTGTATGTTGGAAGCTTGTCGAATAAAAATCAATCAATCAATCAATCAATCAAGTATGGGCAATTTACAGGCGCGGATCTACGGGGGGGGGGGGTTTAGGGGGTTCAAACCCCCCCCTTGGGCGGCCCCAAAAAAACAAAAAACAAAAAAAAGAAAGAAAGAAAAAAAGAAAGAAAAAAGAACGCACGCTGGAGAGAAACCCTTTCAAGTGCATATATTGTGAGAAGATATTCAACTCATCTGGTAACTTAACCAAACACATGATAAAAAGGCTGGATATAACTGTGTATTAAGCTGTTACTTGATTTAAAAAGACGTTATCATGCACTGCTTTTTATGGTCTCCATTGTGTTAATAGATGCCAGGAAAACATCACTTACGGGGTTCAAATAAACACCCCAAAAAAAAATCGGCTCGCCGCTACGCGGCTCGTGGACGATGCTCTGCATCGTCATTATTTTGGTCAAACCCCCCCCCCCCTTAGCAAAAAGCTAGATCCGCCCCTGATTTATGAAATTTGCATAATATGAAATTTAGCTGTTATCATATAAAACAATAAAGCGCTACAACATTGCATTCAGGTACCTGACATTTATCCGAAAAATAATATGCACTTGATAATCCCAGTATGTTTCTTGCAATTTCGGGATTCCTAATAGTTGTAGGACAAATCGGACATGCCCGCAATGACGTCAAATGCGTCATCAAGCCACGTGACCGCATTACATTTTTTTCGAGGGGCGTAGCCCAGCAAGCGTGAGATTTGTGAAAAATGGAAAGTTTTTATCACTTTTTGGTCAGTTTAGAGATTTTCTGAAAAATCAGAGGCCGGAATATTAATAAGTAGAGGTGTATTCATGTTTTGAAAGGCTATGTTAGAGTGGCCATTTAAAACGTACAAGAAAAGGTAGGAGATCCTTAGGAATAGGCGCAGACTGAAAGGTCAAAATTATTTAACCCTAAAAAGGACGGGCTATTTGAGGTCTTGTACGGCCGGGGGGGGGGGGAATAATGGCCCCCCCTTAAGATCTCGGCCGCGAAGCGGCGGATTGCCGCGAAAATTTGCATGCATGTCAAGTGAAGTATATAAAATAATATGATAATTTCAATTTTTTGAAAATTCACTCATTTGCATATTTATGGTAATTTATGCAAATAAAGTCATAAAAAACATATTTTTACCCATAAATCATATATTATTCATATTTAAGCATTCTTTTTCACTACATATATTCATTAGACCATTCTGAATAATAATACTAAAACAAAAATTGGAAGAGCCAGCTTATTCCTTATGTTTTCCCTTGTTTTGATAATTTCTTATGTATTTCATTGTTTTTTTAACTTATGTATTTCATTGTTTTTGATGTTTTATTTCATTTCTTACTACAATTCAGCTATTTTGACTCCAAAACAACCACCTAAACTTTAAACAAGACCCAATAACCCGTGTTTGATCTGTTTTTAGGAAAAATGACTTTTCCATATGTTATGTACACAAATCACGAAAATGAGCGATTTCTGGCTGACATGCAAAGACAAAAGGTCACGTGACCTTGTAACCGTAGGTCTGATTTTCAAAAAAAATATTTTAAAAGTTGCGCAAGACTCGAAAAAAAAGTCAGCGAGCGGCGGGGCGCCATCCATATGCGTTCCCGAGCAATCGGAAAAATCGTGGAGGGGGGCCATAATGGCCCCCGGCCTTATTAGGGTTAATAGTCTGAGGACCTCACGTGTAGTAACCAGGAACTACTTAATCATGCAAAAGCTTGTTCCACGGTTCAAAATGTGTGGAGTTCAGACGGTCGCATATTTGCCCTGTTCGATCGAAGATCAAAATGTGGGCATTAAAGTTATTCATAACAAAGATCAATTTAAATGACGAGAAAAGCAGAGATACGAAGGATAATGATAACTTTTACCTGGATAGATGACACACAGTTATTTGTTTTATCCTCCCAACTGGACTTTGATTTTATGATTAGTGAATATTTTCGGATATTTCTCTTGTCTATTTTAATGCATTGTTATTAATAACTGTTGTATCTTTTTAATTTTTTTTTAAAGTATGTAATTTTTTCTTCATTTTTGTATAATTGGATGTATGTCAGAGGAACAGGATCAAATGTATACGCTTAACTGTAACTTTCTGCAGTCAGTATTCATGTATATACAATATGATCTATACCCTGATGCATTGGAAAATATGAATATTATTGAATATAGTTATGAATCCTTTAGTTGATATTGGTCAAGATTTGAATTTCTAAAATTTACTGAATACAAATTCTTGCTCTAATACACCAAATGAGTTTAAAGTAAAGTTTCATAAACATCATGGTCTGAGTATATTACATGTCAATGCTCGTACCTTTTAGAGAAAAAAAAAATCTGAATTTGTATCAATTCAAATTTCATTTTCAATTATTGCAGTGTTTGAAACGTGGATTACTTATACCACTTTTACCTTTTGAGCTAGAAGGTCATACATTTTTGAATTCCAACAAATATTTTGGTCGAGGAGGTGTAGCTTTTTGTATCAAATCAGTTGAAATGCCGATATAAGAAATTATATAAATTGTAATGATTCAACGCTTCAGTCACACATACGGCATAGAAGGTTCTGCTCTAAAGTGGCTCAAGTCGTACCTCGAGAACCGGAAGCAAATTGTAATCGTAAACGGAGCCAAATCAGATGAATTCCCTCTAACTTGGGGGTACCGCAGGGCTCAGTAATGGGACTTTTGGAATTTGTTCTATATACTGGTCCTGTGAAGGTATAAGCCACATGTTATATGCTGATGACACCCAGTTGTACATCGTTATGCAACGCAACGACCTGGCTGATGGCATCTCGTCTTTGGAAGACTGCGTGACAGATGTGAAGTCTTGGGCTAGTAACAATAACATGATGCTCAATGCAAACAAGACTGAGCTCATCCACATTACATCACAATTTAGGAAACGGAACGAGTCTGTTAGCCTTCACATAGACGGAGCTGTTATTACTGCGACCAATTCTGCAAGAGATCTGGGTGTTATCGTTGATAACTCGTTAGACTTAAGAGAGCACATCCGAAAGGTGTGTCGGGCAGCTAGCTTCGGTGTTTATAGGATTGGGAAAATCCGGAAATACCTTGATCGCAGCTCTACTGAACGACTAGTTAATGCATTGGTAACTTCCCATTTAGACTACTGTAATTCATTATTAATCAACTTACCTGCTTCTAATCTGGTCCCACTTCAGCACATACAGAACACCGCTGCACGTTTATCACTCGCACCAGAAAGCACGACCACATCACTCCAGTCATCCGCACCCTACATTGGCTCTTAATTCCCCAACGTATCCAATTCAAGATTCTTCTCCTCACGTTCCACATCATCCATCATCACGCACCATCATCACGCACCACCTGATTGAACTGATCTCACCCAACCAGACTACCGGCATGAACCTTAGATCATCATCCAGACCCCAGCTCGCACTTGGTCCTCGCACCCACAACCGCTATGGTGACAGGGCCTTCTCAGTCTGTGCCCCCACTCTTTGGAACACTCTCCCCGCCCATATCCAGGACTCACCCACCATTGACATTTTCAAAAAGAATCTAAAAACTCATCTATTCCAAAAGCAACCCAAATAACTCTAAAATAAGTTCGAATAAATATTACCATGCCTTCATTATGTCTTTTCAAATTATTGCTATTACTGATATAATGTGTTAATTTCCAAGGAATTTACATGTTTTGTTAATTTCGTTAGTAATGTTATTAATGTTTAATCTTCTTGGTAATTTATGTAATGTCAGTTTGTTAAGTTATGTTAGAAATATTTGATTTTCTTGTTAATTTACGTAATGATAATTGGTTAAGTTATGTAGGTAATATTTTGTTTTCTTGGTAATTTGAGTAATGTTAATTCCATTAGTAATATTGATTTTTGTTTGAAGTAATTTTGATTTGTGTACATGTACAGCGCTTTGAAACTTTTGTCACAAGCGCTATATAAATTTGTCATATTATTATTTTATTATTAATGAGAATGAGATGAATGATTTTATATATATTATCATGTTAATTGATATCATAAATAATTGTAACACAAAACTACAGTTGATGTTATATATATACAGAAAGCCAAGTGGTAATATTAATGATTTCTTGAAAGTATGATTATGTTTTGTAAGCTCTAAAGTGAACATTCTAACTTATACATTACTGGGGATTTTAATATTGATATCCTTAAACATTTAAGTAGTTCTGATGCTGCCAATCCTACTCGAAATACTGTCAGTACTGCTTCCTTAATTGATGATATATTTACCAATTTGATAAATTCTACAGTTGATAGTGACATTTTGTGTGTGGACATTTCTGGCCACCTGCCTAGGTTTCATCTTTCTCAAATTGAATGTAATGTAAATAAAGTATTAAATACTCAAATATTATCCCTCAAAATGACAAATGATAGCATTAATGCATTGATTTCAGAACTGCATGATACATATTGGTCCTCAATATATCGTTGCTCTGATGTGAATGAATCGTATATGACTTATTTTTTATAAATGTTCCTTAATGCATTCGATAAACACTTACGATATATATTAAACGTAAATTAAAGAAACCACATATCCATACACCATGGATTACGCCAGAACTTTTATATTATTAGAAGAAAAAAACAAGCTTCACAAAAGGTGTTTGAATGATCTTGAAAATAAATACAAGACCTTTAGGAACAAAATGAACCAAATTTTACGGCATGCTAAAAAATTGTATTATTCTAACAAATTGAAGAATACATGTATGCATACTAATGTTTAGGGCACTTGGTCTGCTTTTAATAATTTACTGAGAAAATCAACAAGTTCTCTCTTCCTAAGTATTTTATACATGATGATAAATGTGTCAATGATCCACAACAAATTGCAAAAGAATTTAACAATCATTTCATTAAATTATTAATGTACCACAGCAATTACTTCATTGCTCAAAGAATATAGTTATGTATCCTCTGATTTTAAAGATTATCTGACAAATCCTAGTGCTGTTTCCTTATATCTAACATCTATAAATGAAAGTGAATTATTGAAAATTGCAAAAAAAACTGAAAAATACCAGCTCATGTGGGTTTGATTCTATTGGCTCTCTCATTTTAAACCAGTAACACATATTTTCAATCGATCCTTGGCTCCTGCGATTGTTCCAGATAAAGTTAAGATTGCCAGAATTATTCCTGTTTATAAAAAAAGATGATCGTCATACTTAAAAAAATTACAGCCCTATTTCAATTTTACCTTCTCTGTCAAAAGTACTTGAAAAGTGTATGCACAAACTTCTTTATTCTTACTTGAGTAGCAATAATTATGTTATCAACAAGCAATGTGAATTCTGCTCAAATCATGTAACTTTTCACGCTTTGATATAGATTTACAGTACCACATTACCAAAATATATTCCCCTTTTTCTCTTTTTCTCATTTTCGACTGGTAAATTTGGTCTCTTTGATAATAAATGAATTGTTGGTTAACTTCTCACATGTATTATATTTGAATGAATTTGTATGATTGCATGTATTTTTGTTAAATGTATAATATTTTAATGGCCTATTGTTTTTATATGATGGAAATAAATGAACAAATGAAAATTTTATAAACAGAATTGGCATATTATACAAACTATACATTAAGAGTTAAAATTAAACTCATTCTATACTTGTATTTGTTACAATTACTATTAAGTCTCTTCTCTCTATACATATTCATTTCACATCATTTGCTTATTCATTTACTTGACCCAATTAATTCCTTCCTCCATTCATCTACTCTTTATACATAAGGGCTCGAATTCACAAAGGAGGTTTGTCGACAAACCTTGGTTTTCGTACGTCATAATTTTTTATGACGCGTTTTACGCGGTTTTACAAACCTGGTTTGTAAAGAACAAAAGGAGGTTTGGCGAAACAAACTTGGAGATTTGAGCTTAAACCTTGGTCTGAGCTCAAACCTTGCTTTGTGAATTCGGGCCACCAAGTCTTCCATTTCACCTGGTATGTTCCTTTGTTCTCTTCTCATTGCTTTACAACATAAAATTATTTCTTGATAACAAGAATTGATTTATTGATATCAATTAATATAAAACGGCTTGCCATAAGATCGCGCCAGCTCGCCACAACTCGAGGTTCCAACTCGGCTAAGTGGGAGCCCTGCTTTACTCTTAAATTCTATTTTGCTGTTGGTTTATGATGTATTTCATTTGAATATACTTTGCCAGAATATGTTCAATATGATGCTGGATGGCAGCCTACAAAAGACAGACTTGCACTGGACATGATATGAGTCAGTTGATTACTGAGAATACCCCAAATTTGAGCGACAGAATAATAATAATAATAAAAATGAATAATAAAGTTTAAACGAGGCTACAATAATTCACTTATAATGTTCCCACTTTAATGTAAGCGTTTACCTGCCCTCCCTGCAAAATTCCAACAGTTCTATTTGAAAGTCACCAAAGATTATATTACGGACTTTCCCCTGCATTTATATATCCAATATGTCATTGCAAAAATAATTTCATTACAAAAATAAACTCGTGTGATTCGCGGCTTGCACTTGAACCGCACACTTGAGCCGCACATGCACACTAGCAGTCAAAACAACTAGGCTGTGGTGTAGCTGAGCCTGAACAACACAGTCCAACGGCCAACCATTCAGTTCGCGCACACATGGTAGACCTTCGGTAAACTCATCTGTAGCAAGTTCAATGGGAGACTATTTGTTCGTATTGACGAACGTGTTTGATCAAAAGGTTAATGTCAATCCATTTTCACATCTGCATGACTGTGTAGAGAGAGCTATAACTATAAGCAGACTTCTGCGTAGATTACAAATAAGTGCAGTAATTACCATGGATTCAAATACGATTCGAGATCCGGACAATGTGGTATGTAGATTGCCGCCATGCCAGAAGAAAACAGAAGAGGGAAGTGAGTCGACTCGTCATCCACAATGCAAGCCAAATGTGGTATGTTTAAGGGACTTTGAGGAATATGCCAAGACGAACATGCCCAGAGATGTCTTTGATTACTATGCAGGAGGGTCAGACACTGAACAGAGTGTGAGAGACAATCAAGAGGCTTTCAAACGGTAAATGGACACTCATGGTCATTATTAATGTAGATCTGTTTTAATCGTTCAGACTGGAAAGTATTAAGACCCAGTAAGTGCGATATATATTCATAAATTCACCTGCTTAACCTCAAGAACATGATTAAATCAGCTAGCCACTTCCTTCATTGAAACTATAATTTTCTTCAAATTGAATTGTATAAAATTTTGTTGAACTATCTTCCTTGAATTGCATGGAGCTTGGTGAACAATTGCACCCACCCTTCTGGGCAGCGTTTCACGGCTTTACTCTTCTATTCATTTTCTTTTCTGTACACTAGTTTAAGAACGCAGATCTGATCACCCCAAATGGCACCCCTCTTACAGAACTAGATGCTACAGAGCAGGCGCGTACGCAGGGGGGGGGGGGGGGGGGGGTTGGATCCCCCTTTTGATATTTTTCTATGTGTGTATTTTTGAGGACCCCCCCCCTTTTTTTTTAAATTAAAAAAAAGAAAAAAGAAAAAAAAAAAAAGTATATATATATTATGCCAATGGCTGACCTAAAAAAGGTGACCTTACCCCCCCCCCCACGAAGAAAATTTCAAATTTTCAAATTTCGAGAACAAAAAAAAAAAAAAAGTCCTCTTACCACCACCCCCCCCCCCCCCCCCCTGCTTATTCAGCGGCTGGCTGAGTCGTTGCGAAATTTCCGGCCCGATTTCAAAATGTTAACCCCCCCCCCCCCCCCTTGAAAAAATCCTGCGTACGCTACTGGCACAGAGCATTATGTGTAGAGGCTCGACACATTTTCGTACGTATTGATTTTGAAAATTAGTCATACGCCGTGAGCTAAATGTATATATTCGGTATCTGTGATTTCAACCTAGCTTGAAACATCTGTTATTAACACAATACCTAGATCTATATACCTACGCTATTACACCAGCTATTATATACAGGCAAATCTGCACTGTTGCATATAGCTGTTACTTCATGAATCCAGATTATCATAATCATTATTATTATTGCTCTATCAATTTGATACCCCAAATTTGTCATGGAAAGGTCTACGAATAAAAATATTCATTTCCATCATACAATTATCAATAAGATTGTAAATAAAGTATCAAGGATATACGCTAGAGAGCAAATGGTAAAGAACGTTAAACATAGGCTGCGTTCATGCTTGATTTTGACGGCCAGAATCAGGCATCTGTTACGCGTTTAGTTTAAAACACGCTTGCGTTCATGCTCACTTTTGTAGAATCACCGAAAAACGGCGATCACGATCGCCGATCGTAAACTCACAAAAAGATGCGTTTACAATTTGTAAACGCGTTTAAATGGGGTCAACGCACTGACCTCTAGTGGGTCTACGTAGCATGCACAGTGAAGGTTTGCGAATTCAGCTGGAAGACCAATTAAGGCCACACACTGAGAATTGCCTGGGGGAGCCAGAGAAGTAAGCATGAACAGTGCATCGTGGAACTGCGATCACGATGAGCGTTTACGATGAGCGTTTCAGATCGCTCATTCTGCCTTCAAAATTTAAGCATGAACGCAGCCATAGACACGCATACTGCCTAGGCTTGCACACCGTTTAGGTTCGCCGACAACTCATAAATTGGGCGCGTTCATGCTTGATTTTGACGGCCAGAATCAGGCATCTGTTACGCGTTTAGTTTAAAACACGATTGCGTTCATGCTCACTTTTGTAGAATCACCGAAAAACGGCGATCACGATCGCCGATCGTAAATGCGTTTACAATTTGTAAACGCGTTTAAATGGGGTCAACGCACTGACCTCTAGTGGGTCTACGTAGCATGCGCACCCAGGTTTGCGAATCCAGCTGAAGGCCACCCAAGGAGAATTGCCTGAAGAAGTGAGCATTAACAGTGCACCGTGGAACTGCGATTACGATGAGCGTTTACGATGAGCGTTACAAATCGCTCATTCTGCCTTCAAAATCAAGCATGAACGCGCCCTAAAAAATGCGTGTGTTAAATGAATCTAAAACGTGTTTCAATAAGATGTCGACTAATTTGTACTTATGACAGTTTCGTGAAACAGTATGCAAGCCCAGACAGTAGGTGTGTTAATATTAGCCTAATACTAAAATTGTCTCTACCCAAGCGCGTAGCTAGGATTTTATTTTAGGGGGGGGGGGGGGTATTGAGCACACAAAGCGTGCGAAGCGCGCTCCCTAGGGGGTTGGTTCAGGGTTTCATTAAATTATTAGAGAAAAAAGACGATTCTTTGTAACGTTCTCGATTCATAATCCTTGTCTGAATTCAGTTTTTCTTTCCTCCCTGGCGAAGCGCGGAAGCTTTGATGTTTTTTTTATTTGTTTGTTTGTTGTTTTTTTTTTTTTTGGGGGGGGGGGGGGGTCGACCGCCCCACCGTCCCACCCCCTGAATACGCACCTATCCTACCTTGCCCTGTCAATCGTAGAATGGTCGTTTATCTTATTGCAGACGAGGAATATACGGGGAATATAAGTATGTCGGGTCGTATGACTGTAGTTTTATTGCAGCGTGATACTCCCATGTTTTTTCTTCATCTACCTAAAGGATAGTGCTGTTTACCCGAATAGGCTTTTGTATGTGTATCGTCACTGCATGTTTAAACGTGCGTTTAGATCAATATTTGCCCATGATGTCCTAACACAACAATTTTTGGACTTTTCTGGGCCTCGTCTTATACAGAATTGATATTAATCGGAGCTATGTACATAAGAGAAAAGAGACTGCAAAATGACGACTGATTGGAGCTAGTGGCGTAGTGTGGGCTCAGTCAGGGAGGGGGGGGGCACCCGTCTTTTGACTACTAGATTATTGCTTTTCAACCATTTTTTTAAGTCACGTTTCCCTTTTAAGAAGAAAAAATATTCGGGTCGTCTCAATCCCAATTGATCACAGAAATTCACTTTGCATCACTCTGGCACTTGTCACTATACACAGTCATGTGGACATATTTGGTTGTACATTTTGCGAGCGAGCCCCGAAATGACCATTTTAATATGGTTTTGAAAATATATATATATATATATATATATATTGTAATCAACGCCGAGGAATGTACATGAATGGTGCTATACAATTACCCCCTGGATAATTACCAGATAATTACCTTCGCTGTCAAATAGAAGGATATTGGGGCACTCACATAATAATATGGAGGCATTCAGGCAATCGACTGCCTAAAATCATCCTGTTTCTAAATGTTGCGTGTGAGAGAATTCGAGCGAGGATGGACTTTTTATTATCTTCAAATGGACTGATGTGAAGATATCAACATTCTATCGTTACTACCACCACAACCACATCATCACTTCTACTCCTCATCCTGTCCCTCCTTCTCATCGATTTTGTCACAAATATTCTCTTCATCGTAATGAACGTCATACCCTTAGTTACTGTGATAATGTTACAGCGATCTACATCGTGATCATCATCAATATCATCATCATTGTTTCCATCATCATCGACATGACCATCGTCACGACCATTATCATCGTAATACACCTCCCTTCATTGTTACTATCATTACCACCAAAAGAACTGTTAGGTGTTATTTAAGAAAAGAAAACAAAAGAAGAAAACAAAAAGAGAGGGAAACAAAACTATCAGTATAATTGTTATGTCAATTATGATTCAATTGCTTTGTTATGACAATAATAATGTTTTTGTGATTATTTTAATTTGATTTGTAGTATAGTATCTTTGAATGTAACCATGTATATATAATCAATTATCCTCGCGGCAAAGAGAAGAAAACAAATCATGACCATCGTTTCATCGTGACCATCGTCGCCGTCATTATCGTCATTATTTTCATCCCTTATTTTTGATTGCACCATGGTCACAGAATCCGTTTACAGTCCTGCATTCTACGAGATGTATCATCACGTGATATCTCCACCACCATCCTTGGACAGAAGGTACCTTTCCCGATTGGCATCGCTCCTACAGCCATGCAGATGATGGCACATCCAGAGGGAGAGATGGCTATGGCAAAGGGTAAGAATAGTGACGTAGCTACAATGGGCACGGTTAAACTTGCACCACCCCCCCCCCCTGTCCATTAAGTGTGGGGGAGGGGGGACGTAAAGAGAGTTAGTGTGAAACGGAAAATGGGTAAAGGATGACAAAAGAATGCGCCTCCCCCAATCAGTAGCCTAAGACTGCTGCCACCCCCCCCCCCCCATCGTTCCCAGTGCCCCTCAATGAATGGACTAGCTCGAGCTACGACACTGGGTGAGAGCTGGTAAGCTGTAACAGTCTATGTTGAAACCTTTAAACCTATATCCGTTGCTTACGATGCGTCATTTGAATGATGTATAATAGGGCTTCGTCAGCGATAGGTACGGTCTTTGGTGGTTATGTGAAAGTTACATCTAACAAAATGTCGGACAAAATGTCAATGAAAAACAAGAATAAACGGTGCATTTTTGTATTACTGGTGCTTGGATCGATTAGCGAAAAGACGCCTCATGTGCCACTGGCATTAGTGAGTTAAGTAAGTCCACTGATTTTAGTTGCGTCGATTTTCGTTCTCCTTGATCTAAAGTTACCCTGATTTCTGTAATTAAGAGAATAGCAAAAATCATCATAAACCCAATCGATTTTCATTTAGAGCTCGACTCTTGGAGCTCCTGACCATAGGCTAACTTAATCCAAATTTTTAGGCTCATAAAAAGGTTTATGGGGTTGAAGATTTCCAAGAAGTTGTAGTAACAGAAAAGTAAGCAGAAATAAAACCGTTGTATCATTATGCACGTAAGTGAATTCATACTTTTCAAACATTAAATTGAAATAACTCGTTTAAAGTATTAAAAAAGACATTTCCTTTTCATTTGACCTTTGACCTTGACAAAAAATATGAGATCGTAATATGAAAGTTAACAGCCTTCACGTGAAGCTATATATAAGACGATCAAGCTCCAGTGAATCACTAGATCTTAAATATCAGACCTAGCCATCGTTCAGCTATTTCCGGAAAACATAATACAGGTGCGCCGGAAGCTGTGTGGGATTGGGGGGGGGGGGCAAACGTTCCAGGGGGGCTCACCTTCCAGGGGCAGTGGCGTAATGAGCAAAAACGTCCCCGGAAGCTCAGGGTGTTTAGGCATTAAATTACTGTCAGATAAGCATATTTAGATACCTTATTTGTGACACTGTTAGGTCACTAATTGGCGGAGAGTCCAGGGGGCGGAGCTCCCGGAAGCACAGGGGTTTTGGGTATTAATTACGGTTAGATGAGAATCTAGGGGCCCTATTTAAGGCAATTGATGTGGTCCGGAAGCTAAGTGGTTTTAGGTATTTAATTACGGTCAGATGAGCATCCAGGGGCCCGCCTTAGGGCCCTTCGTGGGGGTCCAGGGGGCAGAACCCCCAGAAGCTCAGGGGTTCTAGGTATTTAATTTCGGTCAGATGAGCATCCAGGGGACCGTCTAAGGGCCCTTGGTGGGGTGGTCCGGGCGGAGCCCCCATAAGCTCTGGGGTTTTAGGAATTTAATTACGGTCAGATGAGCATACTTTGATACCTCATTTGTGACATTGGCAGGTCACTTATTTATTATGTTATTTTGTGGTTGGGGGGGGGGGGGTGCAAGTGCCCCCTGCCACCCCCCCCCCCACTTCCGGCGCCTATGTATATATAATTCCTGTTGTTATTAAAACCTGCATATAGCCGCCACTGCCATGGGAACCGGCATGGTCCTGAGTGCTTGGACAACCAGCACAATAGAGGAAGTGGCAGAAGCATCAGGCAATGGTCTGCGCTGGTTTCACGTTCATATCTTCAGGGACCGGTCAATCACCCGGAAAATCATTGAACGAGCGGAGAGGGCGGGCTACAGAGCCATATTCATTTCTGGTGATACGCCTGTATTGGGAAGAAGACTCAGGGCGTTGAGGAACGAATTTGCTCTGCCGTCAAAATTCAGGTACGAACGAATACGCCAGGATTTTTGTTTACTTGTACAACATGAGAGCCAGTTAACACGTCATTAAACTCAAGATGCATGCTAGTCCATCTAGGATGTTATATTTGAGTGTTCTTGTTCCTCACCATAGACCCGGATTAAGCTCTTATCTTCCGTGATCTCAGTTCAGTTCAGTTCAGTTCAGTATTTATTTAATTCCATAGTAAAAAAAAAAAAAAACGGTGACATCAAAATATTACTTTTACATAAATATGATTAACATAGTACAATATTGACAGTAAAAACAAACAAATAGGAATTAGGTTGCTGTATAAAAACCCTAGAGGGTTTGTCTGGACAGCCACCAGAAAAAAAACCAGTATAGGAATCATACAAATGATAAATGGTATTTGAATAAACAATAACAAAAAATAACAAAACAAAACAAATCAAAGTAGAACATAAGCAAAAATAAAAACATACATGTAGACCGCACAACCCTAAACAAATTTGCATTGTGGAGTAATTGAGTGTTTTTATGATGTAAGATTATTAGAAATAAGATATAATTTAAGCTTTCTTTTAAATGAGTTCAGGCTATTAATAGAAGTAATGTCTGACGGTAAGGAATTCCATACAGAAGGAGCTTTGTGTCTAAAAGAGTGTAATTCATATTGTTTTGTAATAGCAGATAAATAATAATTCATTTTGTTTCGAGTATTATAATTATGAACTGAACAGTTTAAAGTTAACATAATGCATAAATTATTGTGTAATAAACCAAGCTTGTGTTTAAAAAGTAGTATTGCATTAAAATAATTATTTAATTTATAAATGTTCAGTATGCTTAACTTTATGAATAAGGGTTTAGTATGTGCCAAGTATGAAGATGATGAGGCAATTCTAACAAATCTCTTTTGTAATATAAAAATGGCTTCCAATTTGGAAGAATATGTATTAGCCCATACAACATTAGAGTATGATAAGTAGGGCAGGACTAAAGTATTATACAATGTGATAAGAATGCATTTTGGTAGGATATGGCATAATTTGCTGATGACACCGATATTCTGTGATAACTTCTTTCTGACATAAGAGATGTGAGTCTTCCATGATAAATCATGATCAATGTAAACACCCAGAAATTTTGTACAATATACACGTTCAATTGATGAATTATTGAGTTTCACAACTAAGTTTTGCAAAGTACTATACTTTTGTTTCTGTTTCACAGTATAAAATAACATATAATTTGATTTATTTATATTTAATGTAAGTTTATTGGCATTAAACCATTTAGAGACCTTTAGTAGTTCGTTATTTAAGTTAGTTGACAATGATAAATGATCATCTGTTGAGTATAAGATATTGGTGTCATCAGCAAACAATATAAATTTTAATATTTTAGAACAATTTGGGAGGTCGTTGATAAACAATAGAAATAACAAAGGACCTAGAATCGATCCTTGAGGAACACCAAATGAAATATTAGAAGAATCTGAAATGACATTGTTGTAAGACACAACTTGAGTTCGATTATGTAAATAACTTTTAAACCATGAATAAGGTAGTCCTCTAATACCGTAATAACTTAATTTATGTAACAATATTGAGTAATCAATTGAATCGAATGCCTTACTCAGGTCGAGAAAAACACCAACTGTCTTTTCCTGACTCTCTTTTCATAACAAATATATTTCTCGTCTTTTGTTAGTTGATTCCGGTTTTTATGATTCTGAAAATTCGACTTTTTTTACACTAGACTTTGATGAATCGGATAAAACATCAATTTCTTATAAATGTCATATCCTGTATTATATAATGTTCGGGTTTGGCTATGTGCTTTTTAAGTAACGCTACAATGACGATCCTTTTTGATAAAGTGATTTCAATCAAAGCAATATCAAATGCCGAAACCCTAGTTTATGATTATATTCTGAATTGAACTTGAATTCATTGCAGGTTACAGAGCTTTCCCCTACAGTTGCAGATTGAGGATGGGACCAACAACGACAATTTTCCGGAGTATGTGAACACTCAGATCGATGATACCGTCAGCTGGGACGACATAGGATGGATCAGAAGCATCTCCTCACTACCAATTGTCATCAAAGGCATTCTTACTGGTATGATTGTGTATTGAAATCTGAGTCGAACCTCTCCGAGGACTAATATACAAGTAGCCAACATTCACAATCATCAACATGAAAACTCCAGGTCTTAATAGAATGAAATAAAAGTTATTATATACCTCACTTAAGAAATCCAGCCATCTGATTGGTCGAATTGCATTCATAAACTTCAACTGTTCCTGTAAAATTCTCGGTAACCATGCATAAAACATTTCAATATTTTTAATAACCATGGTTATTAAAAAAAGTTGGTCAGCCTCCATGGTTACCCCATAGGTTTACATGTTAAAAAATGGTTTGAGCGATGGAGGATGCCGTAAGTGTGCGAAGGATTGGTCGGTAATTTCAATACAATTGAATCTCGATCGATCTTACCGACAATTTTATCTTGCATTGTTGACATGAAGACGAAAATAAACTTCCAAAAACAAAAAAACAACATCTGCCGATAGATCTTGATCTAAGTTCGTGCCAATATGCATTGCAAAAGTAAAAGAAGAGTCCGTATATGGAGCTTTTGCGAAGCATTCATCACACGCGAAGCCGGTTTCAATCCATTTTAATGTATATATTGTACAAAACTGCCATACATGTTAACAACACGCGATGGCCGAGAGGTCTGAGGCGCTGACTTTAGACACATCACCTTGTGTACGCAAGAGTTCGAATCTCATCTTCGACCACAAAAAAAAGTATTTTTTATTTTTTATTTTTTAGTCTATTTTTTTTCGGCATATAAAAGTATTAATGACTGCTTTAATATTCGAGAAATAGTTGTTTTCATACGCTCTCGGGAAGGTTACAATTGGGCTATTCCCCTCGGCAAGCCTCGGGGAATAGCACAATTCTAACCTTCCCTTGAGCGTAATAAAACAACTATTTCTCTCAAAGCAGTCATTAATACTATACTATCAATGCACTATGTTTTTACTTAAATTTATCAGTTACAATGTTTTATATAATCGCTTTAAAATGGCACATCTCCCTAACTGAAAGATACCACGCGTCCTACAACCTGGTTGCGTAAGCGGACGTGTAATATTTAGACAATTTGAAGAAAAATATTTGAGCCTGATCATCTGCTGTGGAAACCTTAAGTGTGTTCTTTTTTTGAATGGTCACTTTCACTTTTATTGGATTGCTTGATTTTTTTTTGTCGACCTTTTTTCTCTAACTGCAGAAGTCGAGTACACCTTATCTCCATATTCGAAAATCAGAGGACATTTTTTATTGGTTGTTTATAACTCAAGCACACCACCACGCCGACCAATTCTTGGTTATTCGTCAAGATTGTTCGGTGTGTTCGATCTCGCGCCGGTTTGGTCTGTGTTACTGAGGTATTATTACGAACCCTTTAGGCGGGGTTGTTTCAAGTTTATCCAATAACTCTCACCCCCCTTTCTTTAAAGGCTCTAGTGATGACAATAAATATTGGTGAGTTACGTTACAACCTCGACCTTTCCCCACTCTAGCGGCTGATGCCCGAGAAGCTGTATCTCGTGGAGTAGCTGGTGTAGTGGTGTCTAATCATGGAGGAAGACAATTAGACGGTGTCCCTGCATCGGTAAAGTCACAACAATTATTTCTTCTGCTTCTTCTTCTTACTTGTCTTCTTTAGCTTTAGACTTTCCATACTTATATATTTCACATCCTTTTTTGTTAAAAAAATAATAAGTTTGTTTTAATACAAAGAGAAAATGTGAAGAATAGATCAGTGAAGGTCTGATAAAAATCGGACAATATATAAGAAAGTTATGGATTTTTTTAATCCAAAAGTTTTCACGAAATACTTCAAATCTATGATTCAAATTGGCAACACGGTCTCTAAATATGATGTCACTGCCTCAGCAGCCTCACAATTTCAACTTTGGTGAATGCAAGAAATTTCATTAAAATTCCATTTTGATCAAAAGATATATTTTCTTCATGCCTATCTCGATCATATATCACGGATAACATGTTCTTTCATGCTCCCCATATAAGATAGATCTACTATTCCTTTAACATTAAGCGAAATTGAGATTTTGGGTCATTTTGTCATTCAGATCAGTGGTGAATTGCGAAGAGATGTCATCACCATTTCTGACCGCATTGCCAATATGTCTCAAAGATTCCAAGATTTTCATGATTTTTCAATGATTCATAACTTTCTTATTTGTCGTCCGTTTTTTCTCAAATTTTCACTGATTTTTTTCTCTAATTTTCCTGCTTCTATTAAAACCATTTTTTCTGTCAGGGTGGACTTCACCTTTAACTGTTCAATAATACCTTTAAAGTTACAAACAAGCAGGACAAAGTAGGACGGCGTCAGCGATTTTTGAGGCCTTAGTATAATCTTTGTGAGAAAATCTTTTGGAAAAAGCGAATACAAAAAAACTGTGCAAATGTTGCGTTGAATTATTGGAACAACACTAATTTTAGTCTTCTGTTTTAATTTTATTAAATGATATGACAATAAAATGACATGTTTGATTTTGTTAGTGACGGATCTTCAGTAAATTTTGATCATATTTGATTTCACCATCTTTCCCGACCTGTTGAGTCCCGGTGCCTTCGGATATTGAAAGAAACAATTTTCACTAATGAAACAAATGCCCCAAACTCTGTGACCGTTCAGATCGATGTTCTAGATGAGGTAGCCAGTGCAATCCGAGGTTCTGGTATAGAAGTCTTCTTCGATGGTGGTGTTCGATCGGGAACTGATATCCTTAAAGCACTAGCGCTAGGAGCACGAGCCGTCTTCATAGGTCGACCAGCTCTCTGGGCTCTCAACTATGATGTAAGTGTCATTTCGACGCCAGATTAGGACAGATACCCTCTATGACAATGGTACCCCCGGATAATACCTCCCGAATAAATACTCCCTGGGACAACTACCCCTAGGACAATCACTCATATGCAACTAGCATCTCCAGAAAACTACTCCCTAGAGAAGAAGAAGAAAGGAAAAAAAAAATCGTTCTCTCTCTCTCTCTCTCTTTCTCACTCCCTCTCTTAATTTTCTCGTCTTATTCATAAATGGGATATATATATAAAAATGATGTTACATAAATTCCTGTCCCAACCATACACACTCTTCTAGCCACGTCCTGCATGTAAATCATTATTAATCTTGCATTTGAGTTTGATGATGTTTCTTACTAAAATTATGTTTCGAAAGAAAATTATCTTTGTCATTCCGTTTTATTATAGGGCTCAGCGGGCGTCTGCAAAATGCTGGAAATTCTGATGATTGAATTTAGCGTAGCCATGGCATTGACAGGTAAGAGTACAGAGTGTGTTAATCATGAAATAGTTATACAGTATATTTGATTGTAAAGATTATAAAGTAATCAAGAATATTGAAAGGTCAAAGTGTGTTTAATCGATTTCGACACTGCCTTGCTTTATTGTTACTTGTTTTCATCACCAGTTTTCTGCCATACGCCTACTCCTTATCGCTGTATGACATGAAATCAAAATTGTGAAATAATCTATTCATTTAGTCGGCAAATTCTTAATAAACATATTCACCATTCCGAAATGCTGGTAAAACCAAATACATGTACTATAAAGAATACAGATTTAACACTCAGTTACAAGAGTTGCGTAGGATATAAAGCAGTGCTGATATCGGACCATTAATACACTTGAGGCCCGTGAAATCGTTCCAGATTGTTGAACTTTTGGACTTTACACGACATTGTTTACTCCATACTTTTTCATTTTATGATTTATCTCCTTGTCGAACACAGGTTCGCTGAGTGTTGCTGACATAAAGAAAGATTTGCTGAGAAGACAAATCATTTACGCCAAGTTATGAGGTTTACCAAAACCTGTATATGTAGCATTGTTTATCTTCTTTGTGCTTCACTGAAGCTTGAATTAGAAAAGTTTGACACCAATATACTATCAAGATATAAATCAAGTGTGATTCTAAACTATTATATCCTACACGTAGGTTTATTGTCATAATGTGTGTCTTCCATTCATCACAATAATCATAATTCAATTTGTTAAATTTGATTTATTATAAGCGCAATCTAGATGAGTTTAGGGATGATATTAATATCAACGTTTAAAACCTCTAATTCACACTTGAATTGTGATTATCTTCCTCTGTAGTATTTTGCCATATTTGCTGTATCGCAGTTGTTATTTCCATCATGTGTATTCTTTTGTAGGGGGGGGGGTCTATAATATAATGTAGCTAATTGGCTTGTTCTATGTTTATGTTTTCCTTTTACTTGATAGTATATACATTGAAGTATGAAGTATGTAATAATGGTATTACGGAACTACTGTTATGATTAATATTGGTACTGTTGGTTACAGACGGATATTGACGATAAAAAAATTACCCACCTGGCTGATCTGTGGATCATTTCACTAAGTGAATTAAATGTTGAACATGCTTCATTAACACAGTATCCAATGGAAATATTACGATTTTATTTTATCTGCAACACGATGACAAGAGATTATTCTAACATTAATTATGAATCATATAATGTCGTATATTTACACCAAATCTGAAATTATACTGAGTTTCGCTTGCCTCTCTCTTCATCACATGAGTTTTTCTCATATTTGATACGATTTGAATCGAATTTGAACTTTATTTCAATTTGCTATTATCCCCCATACAGTAAGTTTAAAAGGGTTAAAAGGGGACACCCCATATAGCGTGTGAGTCCCCCAAAACGTTCACTCAGAAAATTGTCATTTATTTTAAAAGTCAGCTATGAACGAAAGATTATCATACATGTTTTGCAAGAGTGTTATATCCAAAATCGTTTGGTATTATGTTTGTGTGGTATGTGTTCACGCTTGGATGAACTGGAGGCATCGTTTGCGAGAGTGCAAAAATCGACTAGCGCAGAAGTATCAAAGTGAGAGAATGAATTACATGTATCAAATGAGATGCCTTGCATTCACTTTTTGCAGAAATGAAGTCACACACACACACACACACACACACACACACATGCGCGCACAAATGTTCTTTGGTATTTGATATGTGAGGCATGATTAATTTTGTTAGGGATTGATGTTATTTGGATCTGCAAAGACCGAATTAATACCCAAATCCCAATTGTTTTATTCAAACATCACTTTGGCGCAAGTCCATTTTCGCACTCTCTTAAACAATGTCTCCGGTTCATCCAAGTGTGAACACTTACCACACACAATGATTTGGGATCAAACACACTTTTATAAGATGTATAATAATTTACTGTCCATAGATGATTTTTAAAATAATTAGCATTTTTCTAGGTGTAAACTTTTTTTTTTCTCACACTGTATAGTAAGTTAAGCCAAAATATTTTGTATTATCCATACATAGCCTACATGTATTTATAAAATGTTTAGTATTGCCCACCAATTTTTGTACCCACCTTTATAAAACGTCATTGTTGAAGGTATAGGAGGGGGCAGGTCCCACCCCACCCCACCCATAGAATTGCAAGAAGAAAAAAGGAAATAAGACCACTTCCCGTTCGCTCACCCTCCCCCACACCACTCACCAACACAATTACTCACCCTATGATACAAATGTTCCCCTTCATAGCTGAACCCACTTTACGCCCCTCATAGTCTATCTTCTCTTTTCGTTGCCCCTCTCGATTGATCTTGCACGCATTCTTTATCACATCCTAAATATTTTCCTCATTCACCATAATGTATACCATTGCTATATAAATGACTATATGATAAAACAATATTTTTATATAAATTGATCTAAAAAAAAAACGGTAGTTTTGTAATACAAGCATATATTTTAAGAAATAGGGGAAAAACAGTGTGTACAATTTGTATATATGACACAACTTATTTGTAATCATTAAACGATGTGATTAACATTTAATTTTACTTTCGTTTGCGTCTTCATTATGTTTATATATTCAGTCGGGTCTTCATTCCAATGAACAATGAAGAAGTGAAATTTGTAGGTGATTAGAAAAATGCTAGAGACTTTGTAAATTGCAATGGAAGACTTTTAATCTTGCCGGCTACTGACGTTTTGGATTAATCTGAGAACTTTCCCGTATAAGCGTTTTAAGCCTACCAGTGTGCTATGAACAGCAGACTGGCTGAATCACTCGAAGGCCTATATAGATAGGCCTGAAATAAAACATTAGAATCTAGTGGACCTTTTTCTTTCTTACTTTGATTGAAATCAAATTTTCATCCATTTTTAGATTGGGGAACTGATTATGTGCATGCAGTTCGTCAATCGCTTGTATTTATCCTGAATAGTGATTGTCAACAGCGCCATCTGTCTTTATTTCGCCGTTTTCGTAAATGTCAGAATTCTTATGTACAAATTAAAGAGCGAAACCACATGTATAATTAAGTATATAGCGGTTCTAAACTGGGTTTGGGGCTCAATACCCCACCCTTCCCTTGTAATTCTTGATTATAAATGAATTTGAGCAAGGCACATGTGACAATTTTTGACTTTTGCACTCAAATAGCTAAATGTTACAATATAATTTTAAAAAGATCCTATTTGTTTAGATTATAATCAATAACATTTGCAGGGACGCCAGTTTTCAGGCCCTGGCCATTTATTTTCAGACCATAGTTTTGGCTTTGTTTTCATGTGTGCAAAATAGCTCATTTTAAGTGATTTCTGACCCTCTGATCAACCATTCATTATAATGATGTAATACAGTTATTTATGTCGATTAATGTACTATTACCAGTCTCTTTTTTATGTAAAAGATTATATCATGTTTTGTGTTGTTTTGAATAAAATGAACTCGAACTTGAATTCTTACTGGCATCCCTGTATTTGAATTGAATTGAATTGAATGTACAAAATGTACAGAATGAATACAAGAACCCTCAATCTCCCCTAAAGCCCCAACAAGCTCCCCAAAGCACCCCACTCCTTATACACAACACACAACACACACACACATACGCACACACGCGCACACACACACACACACACATGCACACAAACACACATACACACGCACGCACGCACGCACTCTCTCTCTCTCTCCCCCCATCTCTCTCTCTCTCTCTCTCTCTCCCTCCCTCCCTCCCTCCCTCTCCCTCCCTCCATCCCTCCCTCCCTCTCTCTCTCCCTCCATCTCTTCTTCCCTCACTCCCTCCCTCTCCCCCTCCCTCCCTCTCTCCCCATCTCTCCCTCCCTCCCTCCCCCTCTCCCTCCCTCCTTCCCTCTCACTCCCTCCCTCCCTCTCTCTCTCCCTCCCTCCCTCCCTCCCCCTCACACCCTCCCCTCTCTCTCTCCCTCCCTCTCTCCCTCCCTCCCTTCCTCTCTCCCTCCCTCCCTCCCTCCTTCTCTCCCTCCCTCCCTTCCTCCCTACCTCCCTCCCTCCCTCCCTCCCCCTCTCTCTCCACGCTTACGATATCCCACTTTCTCTCCCTCTCCGTTTTCATCACTGAATCTTGCCCTTGATTCGTTGGAGCAATATTCCAGGCGCTCATCCATCCGAATCCTTGGAGTTGAAGAGAAGCAGGGAGAAGACACCGAAGTGGTTGTAAAGGAAATCATAACAACAAAGCTGGGAGTTTCCCTCGAGCCATCATGTGACATTGATCGCCTACATCGTACCGGGTCAGCGAGAACAACAACCACCACTGCCAGACCAAGATCTATTATCGTCAAGATGCAATCCTACAAAAAGAGGAGAGAAATTTTGTTGAACAGAAGAAAACTGAAGGGAACAGGAATCCTGATTGTTGAAGACCTCACCGTAAAAAACAGTCTCTTCTAGCAAAGACTCGTGCTCACAAGAAGGTCATCTCAGCTTGGTCATCCGATGGCCTTATTTTCGCTTCACTACCCGCAAGTGGAGGAAAATCTGTACGGAAACTGATAAGGAATGAAGAAGACTTACAGCTCCTGTAAATTGACTCATTTCATCGTACAGGATTATGCTGTAAATGGAACTTGATTTGAAATCTCGCTGACTGTTTGCGTTATATTTGGCTACTTCAAGCCTTTTATCATTTTGCTACCGTAAACATTAGTTTGATGTGTTCAATTTTTATTTATTTCTTTTGTTTGTAATTGTATTTTGTGTGTGTGTGTTTGTTGGTGTGCTGTGAGAGTGTATGTGTAATGTCTGGCATTTGTGCTAATTGCAGAACTTCTATAACTTCTACTTCTACTCAGTCTTCATTTTGTATTGATTGCAACTCTATTATATTCCCATTTAATTATATTATCGATGATAACGAATTTTACTGGTCTGTATATACTTTTTTTCATATGAATTCACATGTTGACCTTAATAAACTTCAGGGTTTGAAATTTAATCCATTTGATACAGATTTCATGAGAACATCTGAAAATGAACTTTCAGATTGTGATTCTAATTCTATAAATACTGTTGTAAATCCATGTAAATATGTATTTGCTGATGATTTTTGTAGTAATTTCTCATGTAAACTTTCACATATTTCAATGCTACATTTAAATGCTAGGAGCTTAAGGAAAAAATTCGATGAATTTCTAATACTATTATCTTCTCTTTCTTATGAATTTAGTATTATTGGTATATCTGAAACGTGGTTTAGTAATAGTACAGAGTTGTCGTTATTTAAGTTGGATAATTATAATCTTCTACAATCATGTAGGGCCACACGTAGAGGTGGTGGAATTGCCCTTTATGTTAAAAAAGATTTAAATGTAACACTGCGATCCGACATTTCTTTTAGTACACCTGCATATGAAATTATTTTTAGTGAAATTCAAGGAAAACCGAAGCCAATTACCATTGGTTGTGTATATAGACCTCCAAATACTAATATAAATTGCTTTTATGATAAAATAAACGACATTCTAGTAAAACTGGAAGGTGAGCGAAGAGATGTTTATATTATGGGTGATTTCAATATTGATTTACTGAACTATAACACACATTGCAAAACAACTGATTTTCTAGATTTAATGTTTTCTTTTAATATGTATCCTTTGATTTCAAAACCCACTCGTATTACACCTTATAAAGCATCATTAATAGATAATATATTTACTAATACATTTCATAAAAGTAAATATTCAGGACTCATTTATTCTGATCTCTCTGATCATTTCCCAATATATTGTTTATGTAAAGATAAAGAAAACTATTTTGTTCCAACTCACAATAAGAATTATAAGAAAAGATTAATCGATGACAGAGGAATATTTATGTTCAAGGAGAAACTTGGTACAACTGATTGGCACACAGTATATGCTAACAATGATGTAAATGTATGTTATGACTATTTTATTGACAAGTTTCGTATGTTATATGATAAATGTTTTCCTGTATGTACTTCAACATCACGCAAATTTAGTCATAAAGTACAATTTAAGAAACCCTGGATAACTAATGGTATTCTGAGATCAATTAAGCGTAAACATAGAATGTATAAAGTTGCAGTTCATACATTAAATACAAGGAAAAAAATAGTATATAATGATTATAAAAACAGGTTAACCTCTATAATTAGAGCTTCAAAAGCTGAATATTATTCTAGGCTATTCTATTCAGTCAAAGGTGACATGGTTAAAACGTGGCGAGAAATTAATAATTTACTTGGAAAAAATAAACATAGTTCATTACCACAGAAAATGTTTTATGAGAATTCAACTTTCCATTCTTCAAAAGATAAAGCGCAGGC